GAGTCTCACTCTGTCGCCCAGGCTGGAGTGCAGTGGCACATTCACGGCCACCCCAGCGTCAACCTGCTGGGCTCCAGCGATCCTTCCGCCTCAGCCTTCCAAGTAGCTGAAACTACAGGAGCGTGCTACCACACCTGGCTAATATTTTTTTTTTTTTAAATTGTAGAGACGAGGTCTTGCCAAGGTACCTGGGCTAGCCTCGAACCCATGGGCTCAGGCAATCCTCTAGCCTCAGCCTCCCAAAGTGCTGGGATTATAGGCTGGAGCCACTGCCCCTGGCCACGGAGTGATTTTTCCATGGACACTATAAAAATACAGATATGCTGAGTTCATTTATGACTATGGACAAAAATTCTGCTTTGATATTCAATGAAATCATGATGAGTCAAACACAGGAGAAAGGAAAAGAACAAACAACACGTACATACAAATTTAGGTACAATGGCCCAAACTCTAAGTTTCTACATATTCCATAATGATGCTAAGTACTCTATATTTGTGTACTTCTATAGCAGTAAATCCTGCCCCAAATGCAGAAACATGGTTTACATACAGGAGACTGGTGTCTGGAAGAGTTGAAACAGGAGAAAAATGAACGGCCTTGAAGGAAGTTAGCTTTATGTTCAACTGCTTTGAGTTGGCAACAACTTTGGAAACATCATATAAGTCACTCTGCAGCCCTGTGTATACAAAGACATAATTTAATATGTGGGAATTTTATTTGCAGACTCAAACAGGAAATTTGTTTCAGTGTTTTTATATTGAATATCATCAATACCACCAGTTCTTCTAAAACTTATAGCATGATTACCTTCTCTACCTTTCCAAATCCTCATTTACTCTGTCCTTTCCAGTCTGTGTCCTGATTGATTGAATCCTCTGGAAACAGACTTTTCCTCTTCCTCACATCTAATGGCTAATTTCCTCTCCTCTAGTGAGCCACTTCTCACCGTGACCCTGAGTCTTCTTGAAGAATGCATGAGTGGGACAGTATGGTGGGGCCCTCTCCCCCAAAATCAGAATTATCTTTTGGAGGGTGGGCCTCTTCTAATACACTTGGAATTTGTTCCTCTGGATCACATGGTCAACCAAAGCTTTTATTTGGAAGTTTTGAGAAGGTTGTGTCATGATTTGTGGAAGAAATGTCCCAGGTTGTGGCAAACAGGTGACTGGCTCTTCCACCATGACAACGCGCCTACCTACACCACACTGAGGATTAAGCAGTTTTTGAAAAAAACAAAACAAAAAACAAAACAGTATGACTCCCCATGCTCCACCTTCCTTATTCACCCATCTCATCCCAGGTGACTTGTTTTTGTTTGTTTCCCTAGATGAAAAAAACCCTCAAAGGAAAATGTTTTGCCGATGTGGAAGAGGTGAAACAAAAACAAACAAACAAAAACGGCAGAAGCACTAAAATGTAGCAAAATTGATGAGTTCAGAAACTTTTGAGTAGTGGAAAAAGCTTCTCAATAGATGTATTGAATCAAACAGAGTACTTGGACAGTGACTGAAGTTTAAGCATGTAAGAATACACAATTTTTCATAAATAAGTTCTGTTTTTCGGGGGACACCCCCTTGTATATTGAACACGGTATGGCATCTTAGCCTTGGCTAAGGGAAGACCCTCAAGAAGTAAAATCTTTGAAAAGTTAAGTAGGTCTTCAAGTTATTAAAATTAGAGAAGATGTGGCTAGCATCCCATCTTATAACACTGAATTACACCTAAGACTATGAGAAAAAGTGTACAGTGCCAACCAAAGGTGTGGATGGTAGTTCAAGCAGACGTTCTTTTTCCCAAGTTAAACTTAATCAATTATTTTTAAAAGTCAGTTTAACACTCATTTTCAAAACATTTTGAGTTATAAAATGTAATAAAGCTGCATAAAGCAAATGTATAACTTAAATATTATATATTTTAGTTACTACTAAAACCATGAAAATTTATTAGCCACCTAATTTATGACTCTCTCAATCACAATTTACTCTCACCTTCACTAAAAATAACAACTATCATAATTTTTATGGTAAATATTTCTTTGTTTTCATCATAGTTTTATCATCCAAGAGTGCATCCTTACATTCTACAGTTTAATTTTGGCATTAAATCTTTAAATCAAATGTTTGACTTCAGCCCCCACTCTATTTTAATTATTTCAATTTATTTGTTAAATAAGCCAGTTGCTTGTGTAGTTTTTATAGTCTTGTATTTTGTTGGTGAACTCTTCATGGTGTCATTGACTATATCCTTTTGTCTTCTGTATATGTTACATTTTTAGCAATTGATTTTCTCTTTTTCTTCAAGTGCCTCTGTCCACCTACCTTCTTAGAGGGAGAGGAGTTGCTAATTGGAAAAGTCAGAATTCAGGACATTTATTAGACCACAGTTACTGGGCAGGCAAACTTTCAGGTTAGTACTCATGTGGACAGTCCTTCTCTCGTTCATATAACCAGTAGTGAGCAGGAGAATATCCTTCTCTCTGGGTCAGTCTTTTTTTTCACTGCCTGCTCTCTCATGGCAAACACAGGGGTTTAGCTCCTCTGGGTAGGTTAGTGGGTTGAACCTGATTTAATATTGTTTATAAGTAGCTCTTAGGTTAAAAATGACAAAGGTGTTCCTGTGCAGGCCATGCTGTTCCTCTGTATACCAAGTGCTACAGCAGTTACCACCTAATGCTTGATCTACCCAGTAGTCTAACTAATATCTGTGACTGAAGCCTGCACTGTGGCAAAAGATCAAAGATGGATCAGGTATATGGCCATTAGATAGGCTTTTGGAGTTGTTTGTGATTTGGGGCTGTTATGGAAACAGAAGGTTTATGAAACTTTTCAGTCCTCTGATTAAGAATAGCAAAGGTACTGATGACTTATTAGATGCTATTCAGGGCTGGGCATGGTGGCTCACACCTATAATCCCAGCATTTTGGGAGGCCCATGAGTTCGAGACCAGCCTGGGCAACTTGGTGAGACCTCATCTCTACAATAAATCAAAACATTAGCCAGGTGTGGTGGCGATGCCTGTAGTTTCAGCTACTTGGAAGGCTGAGGCAGAAGAATCGCTTGAGTCCAGCAGGTCGAGGATGCTGTGGCCATGAGCGTGCCACTGCACTCCAGCCTGGGTAACAGAGTGAGACTCCAACTCAAAAACAAAACAAAACAAAAAAGAAGCATTCAATATTCCAAGAACATTACAGTTATTACCACAGAAGTCTATGTCAAGAGATCACATAAAACTAAGGGTAATTCCTGAACTGGCTTATATGCTAAATGTGGAGCCTTTACCTACTCTATCAGTTGGTACTAATTCACATTTGTCCTCATCAAATCTACAGAAAGAATGCTTGGGTCAATTTAAATGACTACAAATGACTCACAACTATCAGTTCGGGTGTCTGGAAAAAAAAATATTGTCAATTATAGGCCTGTTTTCTCTGTAATTGTGAACTGAGGTGATTTAAGGAGAGTAAGGCGTAGAGCATCAAGACCCATCCAATCACTGTCATGATTTTTTACCCCAAGGAGGAGATTTACTTATTTCCACATTAAAGCAGTACATTTTGTTTTTTCTAAATTCACTAAGGGAATAGTAGAAGCATGTTTTACTTCTGAGCAGCATCACTGGTGCATATCTGTAAAGGTAAGATAGTTTAGAGTTTCCTTCATAAGGTCCTTTTGAGCATTTACAAATGAATTTTATATAATATTCTAAGTCTTTAGGTTATGAATGTGCATTAGTCATTATTTGTAAATTTTCTGAGTGGACAGAAGCTTTACCTTGTAGGAGGGCTTCAGCTGTCTATAGTTACTAGACTTTATATTTCTAACTTGGGGATTCCTAACTTCCTGTAAAACAATTAAGGAATTCATTTTACCGGAACAGTCATAAAAAACCCAGTGAAACATTGCCTGTATCAACCCCCAAATATTATGGAAGTTTGGAAGAGTAAACGGCACACTGAAGCTGAAAGAGTCCAACTAAACTATCAGACACCACTACTCTTCCTCGGTTCTGGAATAAACCACTAGTGGTCACACAACTCCTCAGAGCACACACCGACTCTTTCCTTATAAAATCAATTTAGATGATTTTATGCAGATCAATCTGAATCATCTGTTTCAGAAGGAAGAGAAAGCTTACCTATTGACTCAGATCTAAATTATAGTTACTTTAAAAGGTGTGATAGAAAATGATTAAAAGCAGATGGGTGTGGTGGCTCATGCCTGTAATCCCAGCACTTTGAGAGGCCAAGGCAGGGGTATTGGTTGAGCCCAGGAGTTCAAGACCAGCTGGGAAATACAGCGAAATCTCATCTCTACCTAAAAAATAAAAAATTAGCCTGGTGTGGTGACATGCACCTGTAGTCCCAGCTCTTCCAGATGCTGAGGTAAAAAGATTGCTTGATCCCAGGAGGTCGAGGTGGCTATTAGCCATGATCATCGTGATCGTGCCACTACACTCTAGCCCAGGCGACAGAGTGAGACCCCAATTCAAAAACATAAAATAAACATGAAAAATAATTTTAAAAGTTATTCAAAGCAATAAGAAAAAATATGCTATCATACTCACCAATATCCCTATTATAGTAACCGTAGAAAAATATGTCACCTAGACCAGCTCCATTTAAATGGTCTCTTTTTACCCTGCAGGTCATGCCTCATTAGGAGTAACAAATAAGTTTTCTTATAAAACTATAATACAGAAATAGCAAATACATAAAATATATATGTATGCATTTATGCATATATATTTGTATATAATCTGTATACATATTTTATATATATGAAATATTTATCTATATCCATCTGATATATAAGATAAAGAGGAGAAAACAAATGACTGAATAATGTAGTTATTGCACTTGACCTCACCTTGTATTTGAAAAACTTGGTCCCAGTTAATAACATCACGTTCCTCCAATAGCTGTTGGTAAGCCCTGACATCTTTGTAGAACACAGCATAGGCATTAGTATAATGGTCAAGGTTATCTATTTCAGCCTAGGACAGAGGACATAATCATAAAAACATAAGCATATTTTCTGGAGAACCCAAACCTTAGATACCATTAGTTGGGCAAATGTAGCTAATTTTCCATTAACAAAATTAGCTATCTATAATACAATGGCTAGGTGGGAATGTGGTGAGGGGAAAAGAGGCGTTTTTTAACTTTTGCTTGAATCTTTCTTCTGATATAAGATTTTCTTAAGGCGTCTGTTTCACATTTTTCTTGGATTTTATTTATGTGTAGAAATAACAAGAGTATATAGCTCAATGGATTAACCTCCAAGAGTCAAAACTCTCAAAATCTTCCTAATGTGGTCAGGACAGCGCCTCTGTCACCATGTGAGCTTTTCCTTGGTCTCAGGGCAAAATGGAGTGGATGTTGTCTTCATCACATGACCAAAGTCAAATATCATAAGAAATTATCCACCCAGTGGAAAAGCTAGTTATCTACAGATCAGTCATTTGTGCTTCATGCTTCCAGAGATTAGGCAACACTAAGAAAACACTTTATTGAACACGTTTTTCATATTCCTGACACTCTGAAGACAATCAAATTAAAAACTAATGGTGAAACTATAGTGTGTTAAGCTAAAGTACATGGCTACTATGGCTATACTATCCTTGTTACCTTCTAATCTGTCTTTCCAATTCTTCTTATTTTTTTTGCCTTTGAAAAATGTACCTCTCAGGCGGGCTCGGTGGCTCAGCCTGTAATCCCGTGTCTTTGGGAAGCTGAGGTGAGTGGACTGCCTGAGCCCGTGGGTTCGAGACCCGCCTGGGTAGGCGAGACCTCATCTCTACAATAAATCAAAAAATTAGCCGGGCGTGGTAGCGCACGCCTGTAATTCCGGCTACTAGGAAGGCTGAGGCGGAAGGATTGCCGGAGCCCAGCAGGTCGAGGCTGCGGTGACCGGGAGCGGCCACTGCACTAGTCTGGGGGACAGAGTGAGACTCCAACCCAAAAAAAAAAAAAAAAAAAAAGTACCTCTCAGCCAGGTGCAGTGGCTTATGTCTATAATCCTGACATCTTGGGAAACAGAAATGAGAGGATTACCTGACTCTAGGAGTTTGAGACCAGCCTGGGCAACTTGGTAGGAGCTCATCTCTACAATAAATAAAAAATTAGCTGGGCATGGTGACACACAACTATAGTTCCAGCCACATGGAAGGCTGAGGTGGAAGGGTCATCTGAGCCTAGCAGGTCAAGGCTGCGGTGGCCGTGAGCATGCTACTGTACTCCAGCCTGGGTGACAGAGTGAGACTTCTACTCACACACAAAAAAAAAAAAAGAAAAAGAAAAAAAAAAGAAAAGAAAAAATAAAAAAGCATACCTCTCTTTGTCGTCGAGTGATGACAGCTTTGAAGTCTGGCCATGAATCCAGTACTACTTCCTTTTGAAAGGGATTCCCACGATTTATGTTCATCACTGCTCCATAAACCTGAGCCAGAGAACCCAGAGATACAAGTTAATTACACTATTAACTGTTTCAGTTGCATATTACCCTCTTCATCTCCTGTGTAATCATGGACATGAGAAGGGAAATTATAATACATATACATACCACACACATACACGCACACATACACATACACACACACACACACACACACACACACACACACACACACACACACCCCTTTACTCTTATCAGTGCACATAAAAACTGGTAAAAAGCCTGAATCCTCTGAAAACTTCCCCTAAACCTAGTTTTTCTAATATAACAGTGAGAGGTACCAAATTGATAGGGTTACTAGGTGGGTGCTTGGCACATAAATCAGCAATATTTGCAGAATTAATCAGAAAATGATGTATAGATTTAGGGCTCATACATATTTAAAAAATTCCACAGATCATTTTGTTGCTCAGCTTTTACCTGAGAAATGCAACTACTCCTTCAACCCCAAATTACAATTAAATATAATTTGAGGGTGAAGCAAACCCAAATTTAAAAAAAACTCCAAAAACCTGCATTTCAGTTGATGGAAAAAGGCTCTATAAGTATTCCCTGAGGGTAATAACTATGTCTCATTCATTGTTATATCCGTGGAGCCTGACACACCTGAATGAATTCTTGGTGACTAAACAATATTAGAGTAATATTAAAATTGTCATGTGACTTTATACAGTTTTCTCTCTATGAAGAAAGATGTCTGTCCTATAAAACAACTTTTCATATGTTACATGTGTGCTTGTAGAGGTTGGAGAAAGTTTTGGTGATAATAAGGACTGTGGAGTTATAGGCCAATGTTCATAGTATTTTCATAATACATAAAAACTGGAAGCAACCTAAATGTCCATCAACAGTTGAATGAATAAATGGGGCATATTCATACCACGGATTACAAAATAGCAGTGAAAATGAATAGAATATGCTACAATGAATCACTGAATCTTATAAACATAATCATGAGCAAAAGAAGCTAGGTACAAAAAGGATACTTATTGTATAATCTAATGGATATTACATAGAGGAACAGATGAAATGAAATTATAGCTTTGGAAGTCACGACAGTGATCACTTTTGGGGTGCAGGGAGAGGTATTGGTTGGAAACGACCACTGAATTTTGAGAGGAGTGGTATCTAGGTAATGTTTTCTTCTACGTTAGTAGATATTATACAGGTATTTGCCTTGTGAAAATTCAATAAGCTGTATAATTATATTGTATGTGCTTTCTAGTATGTGTTAGACTTCAATGAAAAAATTTACAAGGGCATTAGAACTTACATTTAACCTCCTTTATCACTATATTTTAAATTAAAAAATTATTAGTATTTTTTAAGAGGCAGGTCTTGCTATGTTGCCCAGATTGGCTTTGGATTCCTGGGCTTAAGAGATCTTCCCACCTTGGACTCCCAAGTAACTGGGACTACAGTTGTGCCACTGTACGTGGCTTTACTGCTTCTCTTAATCCAAATCACTCACCTTACTACAATGCCTAGAATATTATACAATTTTTTTCTTTCTTCCCTAACCTGGATCTCACTCAAACATCCTCACAAAATGGCTCTTTCCAAATTGAGTTTTGTTTATATTAATGTGTAACCTGGATCACCCTTAGTGAAAACCCAAGAACTAAAGTAACCTGGAAGGATCAAAATTGTTCTATGAGTCAATACATTTTGTGGCTGCTCATCTTATATAAAATGGTTTTATTAAAATGGTTACATGGGGAAATTGTACTTCCTTATTCAAAAATGTAGTCTAAATATGACTGGAATGTTCAGAAGATTAAAAGAAAAAAACTCAATATTCAGATTCTGAAAAAAATAACTTGTTTGTATAAGATTTGGAGTCAACTGAAAGATTTGACATTGATTAAAAACAAACTCATCCAATAGCTGTTTATTCAAAGGACAAGCATGTAGTATAGATGGAGAGTGGCTAAAAATAAGTAAAATGCTGGAGGAATGAGCAGTTAGAGTTTATGAAGGAATTGTGAAGGAATATTTAATCACTTAAACACTAAGCTGAGGTTACAAAATACAGATCCATAAGCTTCAAAAAATGGAAGAAGGGTAAAGAAACAAACTATTTTATTTATTTTTTATTGTTTTGGTTCTTGAACATCTTTTATGACCCTATAAATAAACATCACTGAAACCTTTCTAGTTTCAAGAAACCTTTCATTTCAAGAGTTAGCCAGACACATGAGTAAGGCAAAGTAGCTCACCATCTTATTCCATTAATTCGCCTCAGTGCCAGCATTCAAAATTGGAAAATTTGGGTCAGATTGTCCATTTGGACATTTTTTTTAACCATATGATCCCAAATTATGATTCAGGTTTTCTCCTACAACATATAGTTTAAGCTATGATTAATAAAGCAAGAGGACTGGATTTAATTAACATAGTACAGTATACTAGAGGACTCCCTCTAGATCATTTTTATTCAAATTTTAATAAACATAGGGATTATTCACGGTGTTTGTCACAAATACAGGTCTCTAGCTTCAAAAATTCGGATTCCTTATATCTCTCCTGGGTGATTTGCATGCCACATTTGAAAATCACTGTCACAGGGCATTCTCTTTCTCAAGAAACTCAGCTCTCAAAGCCAATTTCACTGCATTCTGCATTTTCTCCCCTAAGTGCTTGTAGCAGTTCTAATCTCTCATTTATTGTAATCTTTGGTTACCAACATCTTCCACAGTAGTGCTGAGTTTTATCATCAGCAAGCCCTCCTGGATTTTAAAATAGGAACTTGGTGACCAATAGAGCCACTGAAAAAAACTTTAAAAATAAAGATCTTGAAATAAACTTCAAAATTTCAAACTTCTAAGCTTCAGTTCTATTATTTATTTGTTCATCTTAACTGCAATGCCATCCAATCCATACCCTTCTGTCATTTAGAACTCAAATTTACTTAAGAAATAATTTGCTTTTGAAACAGTCTAGAAATCACCTAAATTTCCCTGGGAGTCTTCTAGAGGTATAGTCAAAAGTGTTATTCCCTGGGCTTTAGCGAATCAGGCACTAGCAGGAGGGGGCTGGGAAGCTATATGTTTAACAAGTGCTCCTAGAGAGTCTTATCATCAGAAAAAACAAGAAATAGCCACAAGTTTGACACTGTTTTACAGATTAAGACAATCAAGAAATAAAATAAAATTCTGAACTTTATAGTACCTTGAGTGATTCAGGAAAGCAACTCTTCAACATTTTCTCCAGTGTCAGTAATTTGGTAGAACAGTTTAACACCAACATCTTCTCCAGAGTGTTTGCAATTCCGTACCTAATTAGAAACTTAAAGGTAGGCATTTGATTTTTGCCGTTAACATTTTAATCTGGCTAGGATATCCTTGTCACCCTGTTTTCACTGGGTATAAATCTGGCTGCTATTGCTCTCTCTGAAGAGGGAAAAAGATGGGGAGGTTCTGGGATCGGTAAACCAGAAAATACAAGAAAATGGAGAGTCGTCCTTTTTTTTAGTCCTGGACAGATGTGAGAGCCTATACTGGGTTAAATCTTTCCATTACACACATTCATTGTACTCTAAACTCTTCCTTCAGGGCACTTACAACTGTAATTTTATGTTCTTTGGGTTTTCTTTGATTTAAGTCTATGAAGGGCATGGAGGTAGGGCCAGTGTCTGCTTTTTGCTTCACCGTATCCACAGCACTTGGCATATAACGTGAACATTTTTAATAGTTTTTGAATGGATACTATGAAGCTCAGGGTAGGAATCTTGAGCTCAGTAGCATAATTTTTTTCACAATGTGGGGCAAAGACTAGAGAAAAGACTTCAGTGGAATAGGTGGATACAAGGAACAACTTGAAGAGAAGCACCTATATTAAAGATGAAGAATCAGATACGGACAAGGGCTTAGGCTCATTTTAGCCAGATAAAATTAAAGAAATAGATAGGGCCTACAGATAATGTGTGCAAACTCATCCATTCTCATGCGATTACATTTTCTAGATTTGGGGGCTTCATTTCCCCTGCTTTGTTCCCAAGAAAACTTTTTTCCCCAACGTTCCAATGAGGGATTAACTTAAAGAAAAAAAAAATTCCTACAGTCAATGTAGTGGAGCTCATCTGCTTACACTTAGCAGCCAGGTACTAGGATGACAACAATAACTCAGCTAGACATAAGAACCTGGTACTTCTGGAATTGTGGTGCAGAACTTGGATTATTCGACTATAACACATTTTCCTGGTAGAGAAAGTTGCTTTATATCCCTGTGTGGCATACCTGTATGACTACAAGTTACCCCAAGTATTCAATTGTGATCTACATAAATCCATCGTAAAACTTTTATTAGGAGTTTTATGTGTCTGAACTTCTACAAAGCATATGATCAAGCACTGTGGGCTCTAGTTCACTGAACGGTTCACTTGAGGTGCTTGTGTTCTCTTCAGGAGTCAGAAGAAATACCAAGGGCCAGGGTAGCACCAGAAAAATAAGAAGGCTTTTAGATTCTGCTACTCATAGTTGGACCAATATTAGAAACTTTGAAAAGTTTCAAGATTTCAGGATGGCAAAGAAAGTCATATATCTCTTCACCCTTTTATTTATTTGACTTTTAACTCTTTTGTGAACTCTAAATAAAAATCATATTTCAACTTTTTCATAGATATTTATTTTAAACATATTTATTTAAATTTAATATCTCTTGATAAAAAAATGGCCAGGCACAGTGGCCAATGCCTGTAATCCCAGCAGTTTGGAAGGTGGAGGCGGGAGGATGGTTTGAGGCCAAGAGTTAAAGATTGCAGTGAATTATGATTGTGCCACTGTATTCAAGCCCAAGTGACAGAATGATACCTTGTCACAAAAAAAAAAAAAGAAAAAAAATGAAATAAAACAATTTCAAATGGCAGTGGATCCTAAATTTCTTAATTGGATTTGATGTCTAGAGATCCCTTTATGCCCTAATACTTAACAGAGTAACAAATACAAAAATCAAGGATTACGAGTATTTGTGGATGGTTTGCTTATTTATTATGTTTTTCTCCCCTGAAGAATCTAAAACCATTTATACAAATAGGTTTAAAAAAATGTAATATATGTATATATATGTGTGTGTATATATATGCATATATATTATAGTTTATTGATATTTATTTATGTATTTTGAGTTGGAGTCTCACTCTGTTGCCGAGGTTGGCGTGCAGTGACAGCCATTGCAGCCTCGACCAGCTGGGCTCAGGTGATCCTCCCACCTCAGCCTTCCAAGTAGCTGGAGCCACAGGCATGTTATACAATTATTTATTTATTTATTCATTCATTCATTCGAGTCAGAGTCTTGCTGTCACCCAGGCTGGAGAGCAGTGGCACGCTGCTCACCATCACCACAACTTCAATCTGCTGGGCTCAGGTGATCCTTCCACCTCAGCCTTCCAAGTAGCTGGACCTACAGCTGTGTGCCACCACACCCAGCTAATTTTTAAATTTATTGTAGAGATGAGGTCTCTACCATGTTGCCCAGGCTAGTCTTGAACCCGCGGGCTCAGGCAATCCTCTAGCCTCCTCCTCCCAAAGTGCTGGGATTAGGCCACCTTGCCTGGCCAATAAATATAGTTTAAATTAAAAATTCAGGCAACAGAAAAAATAGAGGGACAAAGAAATATGGAGTCATGAGTGAGGTTAATATGCACAGCATGGAATACAGTCCTCCATCTACAACTGATCCTTTTTATCTGTGGATTCCATATATGCAAATTCACCTACTCCCTAACATTTATTTGTAACCTCCAAATCAATACTTGCAACATTTGTGCAGTTATTTGCAGACATAAACAGAGCAGCAACATAATTGAGTCTATTAACACACATTTCCAGCTAAGGTTGAACTAGGCATGTTCTGCCTCACAATGAAAACAAGTGTCCTTTTCATGGTCTGTTTAGTGCCATGCTTTTTGTTTGTGATTTTTCTCTTTAAAATGGACCCTAACCATATTGCTTAAGTGCTATTTTGGTGTTTCCAAGTGCAAAAGGCTCTGATGTGACTTATGGAGCAAATACATGCATTAGACAAGTTTTGTTCAGGCTTAAGGTATAATGCTTTTGAATTAACTATATATATTAATCTGTCTTTTTACAAAAGTATACATGAAACAATGTTATTAGGTTATTTATTGGTCTGTTGCTAAAGATATTGTGACCAGAGGGCTTGTAGAAACCTAACTGTATTTCCACTGGGGGTAATGTTTCAGTATTGACTAAGTCAGTGTCTGATGTAACTTTATTGAACATAACTCCCACAATGGTCTCTCACCTCCTACAGGTACCTGCCTCTCACCTCCTGCAGGTACCCTGCAGATATGGGCAAGGGCTGAGGCAGGTACCCGCAGGAGGTGAGAGGCTACCTCTGACTCTAAGCTTTCTAGCAGATAACATAAAGAGAAACAAACATGGTTAATTGCATGATTGTTTGCCCATAAAATTATTCTTATAGTATTTCTCTAGCATGTTTTTGTTGTTGTTGTTTGTTTGTTTGTTTGTTTTCTACTTAAACTATCTACAAAGTCCAGTTCTCTAACTTCTTAATAGTCAAAACCATCCTTGTTTAGGCTTTAATTTACCTTTGTAGACTATACTCTTGTAAATCACAAACAAATTACTTAAGGTGACAAATTAAAATCAGAGAGACATTTCCCCCATGGGTTCACACAGAGAAGACATTATAATTAATGTACAACATTTGGCAATACCCTTTCAGTAAACAATGATGAATTTAATAGCATCTTTCATTAAGTATGAGCTTTTAAAAAATTTCACAAAATAGAATGCAAAAATTCTCATAGATACAGAATACATTTTTATACATATTTGAATTATGGTAGAAAGTAATAACAAGAACTATTAACTCTGTAAGTTACAAGATCAGAATGTCATATCCTTTCCACTCAATTACAGATGGTACATAATCAGTACGTGCTCTAGAATTGGAAGGTAAAGGTTTGTAATTCCTTTAACCAAACTATTAAACTCAGTAACTGAAAGTCTTTGTCAAGATAATAAATTATGGTCATATAAGTTTTAGGAACTGAGGTTTCTTTGGGGCATTTGAGCACAGAGAAACTATTTAAAATATTGTATTGATTAATATTCATCATTCAAAGAAAGCATGACTCTCCTGGAGACGTTTCTTATAAACAAATAATGCTTAAGACTTCTGTTTTTATAATGTAACACACTATTTACAATACAATGGTGGACATTTGCTAACAAGGAAAGAAAACTTTTTTTTTAAAGCACTTGTAATCCAATACTAGTAATTATTTTCATATTACAGAATTTTTCTTCAGATACTCTGACCTGTTCCTCTAGTTGTGTCCATATTACAATGCAAAAATTTTTACACTTTGTAATGTTTACTTTACTCATATCAAAATTCAAAGGAATAAAGCAACAAAAAATTTAAAAAGCACACCAAGAAACAAAATTTATCATTTTCTCTAAAACTAATTAGAATTTATTCTTTCTGTATAAGTTAGAATTTCATTTCCTCTATTTTTCCCTTCCATTATAAACTGATGACTTGGGATATTTTAATGAATAAATGCTTACCTGCTGTTGAGAGTTCAGTCTGAAGTTGAGAGTTTTCAGCTCTGTATCAGAGAAGTAGCTCCTTCTATATAAATGGTAAGCTTATTCTTCAAGGTGCCTTACCTAGTTAGTCCTTAGTGGAAAGAGGAGAAAGATTAAAAGGCCTACACCTGTAGAAGGGGCGGGGTTATGGTGTCGGTCAGGTGAAAATCATCTCACATACAACACAGGTATTAACACTTTATCTCTTCCTTTTTGCCACATTTATTATTATAGTGTTAAAGCTAATGAATATCAATCTTTATTTAGAGATGGGAATTTTCTAGACATTAAATCCATCTATGCATCAGGATTGCATAGAAGGGAATAAAAGGGAATTGGATTCAGGCAAATGAGGGTACAATAAAATAATACAGAGTTATTGACCCCTTCGGTATTTTAATCTATTCTGAGGAAAATCCTTTTGCTGCCCTAAGTTTCCAAGGCTGAATGAGGGTAATTTCTAAAGAGGATACTTAGTGGCATATGCAGAGTGCCTCAATTTAAATGCAGTCACTTGGGAAGATTCTGTTTACCATCTTTATGTTTCATAAAATGGTTAATTAAAGCATTCATTACTAGAAGACACTGAGGTAAGCAATACAATGGGCAGCTGATAGCTGAAAGTGACTGGAGAAATTGTATTAGATGCCAATTATTAGATGTCAAAATAAGAGTGTTTTTAATCGTGATATTAATTAATAACATTTTTTAAAATGTTACTGAGAGCAGCATACACCTGTTCATAGCTCTGAGAAACCCATATAAATATAGTATTTCCTAAGTATCAGCTGAATAAAATAGGTTATTTGAAGGAAAAAACTCTTTTAGATATTAAGTCCAATATCCTAAGGAAAATAAAAAACTGACTCAAGTTTAAATAACTTGGAATCTGAAAGACATGTAAAGGTCTCCCCAAATTTAGATTACATCCTATTTCCAAGTGCTTTCAAAACAGAAACTTGAATTCTTCTTTATAAAATAACAGAACTAGCAGTTGCTCTTAGCCTGAAGAAACAATAGCCAAAACTCAAAGCGCGTTACATTCCCAGGAAAACTGCATTGGTTGAAAGTAATTAAATTTGAGATATATCGATCAGGCTAAGGTACATTTTTAACTCTGAGATTAAAAGGAAAAAGAAAAAGGAGGTTGTCAATGTAAGTAATATAAAGAAATTTTCTTCTGTAAACCCTAGTGAACAAATCTATAATACATATTATCATCATAACCAGAAAAATATCTGAATTTGTACTTTGCTGTAATGGAATTTACCCATTGGATTCAGTAGCTTTTTCTATTTTTAGCTTACCAGAAAATTCCTAAGAAGTTTCAATTTTTTTTTCACTACCTAGGTCTATCATTTACTATTTGTGTGACCTTAAGAAAGTTACTTAGCATCCCTGTGCATGTTTCTTTACCTGCAGGATAGAGATAATAATTGCTGTTATGAAATTTAATCCCCTTAGGGTTGTCATTAAGATTAGACATTGGTATAAATACATGATCCATGTATTGGGTTTAATCAGTGCCTGACATATAACAAACACTCAGAAAATATCAGCCATTTTTATCATTGTTATTATAGACATAACATCCTATTATTTCATTTGAAAACTTACATTAAGGACTCTCTGGGGGTAAGAAATGTGGTGAAATTGGCTAAGGCATATTAATTCCTGTTGGTTAAAAAATGAACAATTTCGTTTTTAAAATGCACTCTATTAAAATTTTATTGAATTTAGACAATCTCTTTATCTTCTTCTTTGTCCAATTTTCACAACTATATTGTCTTAGGAGATGGTTGCCACAGCAACTTCCGCAGCCCGGATAACAGCAAAGGCCATTGTAATGAAGAGAGCAAACACCTAAGCCAAGGGAAAGTGGTTCTATAGTGTTTAGTAGTGAATACAATAACAGCAACTCTTACAAAAAAAGCTAATTAGAACTCAGAGATGGCTCAGTCACTTTTTGATATGATAAAGCCCAATTGAGAAATTGGAATTTATTTCGCTTTCCTTCTTTCATTTCTTTTTCAAAACTAAATATTTCTTAACAATGAATGAAACATGAGAGGATTTAGACCTATGCTTAGAAACTAAGCCAAACTGAACAATTCAAATACTAATTTTGACAGGTTCAACTGCATATTTTTGGTAAACAGAGAATACCAAGAAATTCTATCCAGCCAAAGAAAGTAAATCCTTTAATTTTAGGTTCCAGTGCAGGTGTCTCATATTTAAACAAAACCTGTTTGTTAAACATATGCCCAACTAGAAAAAATGGAAGGGCTCATATAAAGTAAGAATTTTAAATGACTGACATAATGCTAAGGTTCTACAACATACGTGTAGTCTCAGAAAAGTCAGCAGAATTACTGGGAACCCATTTTCCAGTATGTTCAGAGAAGTTTTCTTTTTTAGCTTTTTCCAGTCTTTGTCAACATGATAGGCAAAAACTTGTTCTCATTTGCATTTAAGTGGTTATTATAAGGTTGAAAATATCTTTTAGATACTTACGGAAATCTTTCCATAAGTATTTGGAAGATGTTCAAATATAATTTTGAGACTCGCCTATTTTCCTGATATTTAACCTATTTGTTGCTCATATTTTAGACTCTTTATTAATAAAGATTTTGTTTCACACGTTGTAGGTATTTTCCAGTCTAAGCTGTCTTTGGCTTGGTTTGGGGTTTTTAAAAATCTTATTTCAAAAAGTTCAGATTTTATGTTCTGATCTTTATTTTCCCTTTGTGGTTTTGTTTTTGCTTATATGCCTAACAGGGCATTTCACATCTGCTATTCAATCATAATTTTTTTAATTTCTATTTTCATATTTAACCTTACTTACTTGGAATCTATTTTGGCATAAAGTAGGAATATTAACCATCCTCTTGTCCCTGTCATGTGGTTAGCCAGTTTTTTCAAGACTATTAGATATATTTTTCTGCATTTCATTTGAATATCTTAATAGGCTACATCAATACAATATATTCTTCATTCTAAAGTATGTATTTCTTTTAGAATTTAATTCTTGGCACTGACATTTATCAGTCATTAACGAAGAGAGGCATCATAGTTGGCACGGACTGGCCTGTACATGGGAGAAGTTGGGTGGGTAAGGATACTATATTGGGCAGTTATCTGAATTATTGGAACCATGTACACTTTTATTTGAATCCTGCCTTACTCCATTTGTGTTGATATAAAGGAATACTGAAGCTGGGTAATTTACAAAAAAACCCCAAAAAACAACATAGGTTATTTTCTCACAGTTCTGCAGGCTGTAAAAAAGGCATGGTGACAGGATCTGCTTCTGGTAACTTAGCCTGCTTCAATGTAAGGAATATAAAGACATTTTCTGGTGGAAGGTGACGGGGAGCTAGTATGTGCGATCACATGATGAAAGAGGAAATGAGAGGGGAGGTCCTGGGCTATTTTTAACAAGTACTTCTGGTGGGAACTAAGAAAACTCTCCTGGTGCTGTGAGAGTGGTACCAAACCATTCATGAAGGATTCACTAGGCAGATCAAATTTCAACAAAACTTGGTGGGACCAAACAAACCATATCTAAACCACAGCAGATCGTTAATTAACTCTTACATTCTTCATAAAGAGTACATCAAAATGTAGCCTCATTTAATGAAAATATTGTGTATATTTTGGATTGTCTGTTATCTAACAGAAGATACTATAGCTCTCTCCAAATCAGTTTATAGATTTTTCAAAGCAATAGAGGGTAGGGGTAGTATGGCCAATTAGTCCATGGTAAAAAAAACATCACTCAGAAATAATGGTAAGTAAAAATTCCAGTTGACTTTCAATGATCAGAAACAGCATGTGAAACTCCTCCCTCCCCACCAACAGCTACTATAAATGACATGATTAATATTAAAAACCAGTGAGTTCAGGCTCTATTGGCCATTTTAAAAATATAAGCCTTAAGTTTCCAAATGTAAGGTTTTTACGACACTTTCAGTGTGTTAAAAGTATCTTAAGTTAAGCCGGGCTCAGTGGCTCAGCCTGTAATCCAGCGCCTTTGGGAGGCTGAGGTGAGTGGATTGCCTGAGCCCCGGGTTCAAGACCCACCTGGGCAACTTGGCGAGACCTCATCTCTACAATAAATCAGAAATTAGCCGGGTGTGGCAGTGCACGCCTGTTGTTCCAGCTACTTGGAAGGCTGAGGCAGAAGGATTGCCGGAGCCCAGCAGGTTGAGGCTGCGGTGGCCGGGAGCGGCCACTGCACTCCAGTCTGGGTGACAGAGTGAGACTCCAACTCAAAAAAAAAAAAAGTGTCTTGTTTACTTTTAGTTGCTTTGCCGGGTTTCCTTTCCTATAGACTTTCTCTCCAAAATCCATTAACGGTCCTCCTTTACCATTATTTCCTATAAGGATATCACTTTTGACTCTTTTACTGAAGTGCCCCAGGGTCCCCATGTGTGACCTGACTCATTAACAATAAGTATTCAATCAACTTGTTTAACTACAGGTGTGTTCCTGGTGGTCTTAGCCTGGATAACACGTATCAACAGAATTATGACATCTTTTAGATTTTGTTTTGAGTGGGAGTCTCACTCTGTTGCCCATACTGGAATGCAGTGGGATACTCATGGCCACTGCAGCCTTGATCTACTGGGCTAAGATGATCTTTCTGCTTTAGCCTTCCAAGTAGTTGGAACCACAGGTGCATGTCACCATGCCTGGCTAATTTTTTGATTTATGGTGGAGATGAGGTCTTGCCAAATTACCCAAGCTGGTCTCAAACCCCTGGACTCACGCAATCTCTCGCCTCTGCCTCCAAAAATGCTGGGATTACACATGTGAGCCATTGCGCCCAGCTGATGTCCTCTAGATTAACTGACAAAATATTCTAGGTCAGACAGAAAAAACAATTAAATTGCAGTCATTTTATTTTAGAGATAAAAGAAGCCAAGACAATACACTGTAGTTGGTTAGAAAGGATTTTTAATATATTAAGCAATGATTTATTCACATTTATAACCTTATTAACACAATGTGGAAAGAAGAGATGTTTGGTTGGTTTGTCTCAAGGGAACAAGTGTACTAAAGTTCCCCATTAATAACTGTCCAAAGTAAAAGTATGCTTTGATGACCGTAGAAATATTCAATATCTATTCACTAGCCAACCAAAGAAATTAAAGGTTGATGCCTGGCAAATCTAACTTTTTCACAAAAAGACTAGGGAGTTAAGGTAAAAGAGTGAAAACATTTAAGAATTTTTCCAGTTCCAGATGACCAGACTGAAAATGCAAGCCATCGGCTATATAATATGTGATAATAAACACAAGTTTTTAAGCACTAGGCACTATACACAAGTATTTTGCATATAACAATTCCTCTATGAATCAATAAATGAGTTCTATTCAGCCACTATAACTAGTAGATCATAGCTATTCTTATTTTATGATTTTAGACAAATAATTGCAGATACAGCAGTATAAATGTTTATTTCCTAGATTTGATAACTGCAAAAAATACAAAGCTTTTTGAACTACATTAGATGCTAATGATGATCCTACAGAGACTAATTTTAAAGTGCATATCAGAAGATAAATCCTGTGGAAGCCTCAGACTCTGTAATATCATCATAGGCTAACAGTTACACAAAGTCATAAAGGTTCAACCCTAATATAGAGCAATCTAAAAAACAAAAAAAACTTCTTTTAAGAGGCATCTAGTTTCTTATAGGCTTCTTCAATGAATACTGACATATCCTTAATCTGGGACGAATTATGAAGAATATCCAAGTCCTTTAGAAGAGCATCCTGGTTTGGAATTATTGTCAAAATTTCTTTCTGTGGGTAAGACGGTATTATTATTTTTTACAATAGTATTATGAAAAATGTCAAATGTATGTTATTTAGAGAGAATAATATCATAAACCTCAAGTATCCATCACCCATGTTAAATAATCATCAACCCATGGCCATTCTTTCAAATTGATCTTTCCCATTCCTGCTCCCCTCACCATGAGGGGAGAGATTGAAAATTTTAAATTATCTTTTGGGAAAACATGAAGACTTTCCACTGCTATAAGCCTTTACACTATACTATCTATGGGGCCTTTTGAACAAAGAAAAATTACCAGTGTAGAGTTTACTACATATAAGACAGTGTTATTTTATAAGGAGTTACATATGCCATCGTCAGAAGCATAAAACAATTTACTTCCAGAAATGTATCCTACAATTTTTACTACATAAATCTGAAAAGATATAGGTAGAAGGGTGTACCCAGTGTTATCTAAAATACAAAATTTTATTTCCATCGGTAATTTACAAATTATGATACATCCATGTAATGGAATCCTATATAGCTGTCAACAAGAATGAGAGATGCAATCAGGGCCGTGAACTGATAAGAAAAGATGTTCAAACTTTATAGTAAAATAAGAAATACAATTGGTCAAACAGCTTATATCAAGATTCCGACTGTTTAAAGAAATAGAATATAATGTTTATATGCAATGCATAACTAGTGATATACAGGCATACCTTGCTTTATTGCAGTTTGTTATATTTTGTTTCCCAGATATTGTGTTTTTTACAAATTGAAGGCTTGTGGCAACCCTGTATCAAGTAAATCTATCAGTGCCATTTCTTTCTTTCTTTTTTTTTTTTTGAGTCAGAGTCTCACTGTCGCCCAGGCTGGAGTGCAGTGGCACACTTACAGTCACTGCAGCCTTGACCAGCTGGGCTCAGGCGATTCTTCTGCCTTAGCCTTCCAAGTAGCTGGAACTACAGGCATACACCATCATGCCTGGCTAATTTTTCTCGGTTTATTGTAGAGCTGAGGACTCACCAAGTTGCCCACGCTGGTCTCGAACTCGTGGGCTCAGGCAATCCTCTCACCTCGGCCTCCCAAAGTGCTGGGGTTATAGGCATGAGCCACCATGCCCAGGCGAGTGCCATTTTTCCAACAGCAAGTGCTCACTTCCTGTCTCAATCATTCATTCTGGTAATTCTCACAATATTTCAAACTTTTTAAATAACCCTACAATAACCTCTAAGTGTTCAAGTGAAAGGTAGAGTCACATATCTCTTACTTTTAATCAAAAGCTAGAAATGTCTAGGCTCAGTGAGGAATGTGGAATGTTGAAATAAGCTGAAAGCTAGGACTATTGCTCCATACAGTTAGCCAGGTTGTGAATGCAGAGGAAAAGTACTTGAAGGATATTTAAAGTGCTACTCCAGTGAACACATGAATGATTAAGTGAAACAGCCTTATTGCTGATAAGGAGAAAGTTTGAGTGGTCAGAATACAAGATCATGTCAGCTACAAAATTCCCTTAAGTAAAAGCCTAATCCACGCCAAGGCCCTAACTCTCTTTAATCCTATCAAGGCTGAGGTAGCTATAGAAGAAAAGTTTGAAGCTAGCAGAAGTTGGTTCATGAGGTTTAAGGAAAGACTCTGTCTCCATATTATAACACTGGTGAACCAGCAAGTGCTGATGGAGAAGAGAGCAGGTTATCCAGAAGATCTTGCTAAGATTACTGATGAAGGTGGTTGCCCTAAACAACAGATTTTCAGCGTAGACAAAACAGCCTTCGATTAGAAGATGCCATCTAGGGCTTTCATAGCTAGAGAGAAGCCAACACCTGGCTTCGAAGTTTCAAAGGAGAGGCTGACTCTCTTGTTAGGGCCTAATGAAGCTGGTGATTTTAAGTTTAAGCCAGTACACTTCGAATTCTGAAAATCTGAGAACTCTTAATTCTACCAAATCTACTATGGTCTGTGCTCTGTAAATGGAACAACAAACTTAGGTGAAAGCCCATCAGTTTAAAGCATAAGTTGACTGAATATTTTAAGCACACTCTTGGAATCTACTGCTCAGAATAAAAGATTCCTTTCAATATATCTATGCTCACTGACAATGAATCTGGTCACCCAAGAGTTCTGATAGCCATGTACAAGATGAATGTTGCTTTCATGCCTGAGAATACATCTGCTGTGCAGCTCATGGATCAAGAAGAAATTCCAATTTTTAGGTCTTATTACTTAAGAAATACATTTCATAAGGCTAGCAAGTGATTCCTCTGATGGATCTGGGCAAAGTAAATTGAAAACCTTTGGAAAGGATTTACCATTCTAAACGCCAATAAGAACATTCATGATTCATGGATGAGTTAGAGGGGTTGAAGACTTCAGTGGAGGAAGTCACTACAGATATGATGTAAACAGAGAGAGAATTAGAAGTGGAGCCTAAAGATATGACTAAATTGCTGCAATCACATGATAAAACTTGAACAGATGAGGAGTTGGTTCATAAGAATGAACTGAGTGGTTTCTTGAGATGGTGAAGATGCTATGAACTTTGTTCAACTTCGTTGAAATGACAACAAAGGATTTAGAATATCACATCAACTTAGTTGATAAAGCAGTGGCAGGGTTTGAGAGTACTAACTCAAAATTTTTTTTTTTTTGAGTTGGGGTCTCATTGTCACCCAGGTTGGAGAATACTGGCATGATCACAGCTCACTGCAGCCTCCACCTTCTGGGCTCAGGCAATCCTCCCTCCTCAACCTTCCTAGTAGCTGGGACTATAGGCATGTGCCACCAGGCCTGGCTAAGTTTCTGATGTTGCTTCTTAGGTTGATCTTGAACTCCTGGGCTCAAGCAATCCTCCCACCTCGGTGTCCCAGAGTACTGGAATTACAGGTGAAAGTCACTGTGCCCAGTCATAGTATCTCTAATTTTGAAAGAATTTCTACTATAGGTAAAATGCTATAACACAGCACAGCATGCTATAGAGAAATCTTTTTGTGAACGAGTCAATAGATGGGCATGTACAATGTACACTGATTTTTTTCAGACATAATGCTATTGTATACCTAATAGACCACAGTAAAATATACTACAGTGTAAATCTAGTTTTATATACACTGGGAAACAACAAAAAACATTTGTTGACTTGTTTTATGTAGTGGTCTGGAACCAAACTTGCAGTATCTCCAAGGTATGCCTGGAACCGGTATAGTAAAGAAGTACTTACCTGAAGGATGGGTGCTTTGAGACTCTTTTGAGAAAGGTTTGGAAGAGCGAGTACCCCATTACTGTCCATGTCAGCCACCTAAAGTAAAAAAACAACCAAAAAAAACTATAGATATTTCAAAAGGTTAATTTCTCTCTTCTGATTATATTTAAGTTGTTGTCACATAATTTAAGCATTAAAAATTACATCCAGCTGGGTGTGGTGGCTCATGCCTATAATCCTGGCACTTTGGGAGGTGGAAGCGAGAAGAATGCCTGAGCCCACAGGTTCAGGAGCAGCCTGGGCAACTTGGTAAGATCTCGTCTCTACAATAAATCAAAAATATAGCCAGGTATGGTGGCGGGCACTTGTGGTTCCAGCTACTTGGAAGGCTAAGGCGAAGGATCCCTTGGACCTGGCAAGTCAAGGCTGCAGTGGCAGTGAGTCTGCCACTGCACTTCCACCTGGGTGACAGACTGATTCAAAACAAACAAAAAATTTCATCCAATTCCCAACAGTCCATTTTTAAGCAATTACCTGTTTTGTCTTCTCCTCCTCTTCTTTTACCTCACTTTCCAGAATCTGAATTTTGCTCGTTAGATTCTGAATATTTTCAGTCATCAACTCTGTGTTCTTTACCATTTTTTCTAGTTCTTCCTGTGCCAGAAAAAATTTAACATTTTAAGTATATTAATAAATTAAACCCTAGCAGATACTGTTATACCTATATAATTTTAAAACACCTCATATAGTAAAATACCTAGAAAACACTGGTAAATTTACTTTTGTTTTTCTTTTGAAAAAGACTTCTTGGAAAGCTGTTTTGCCAATGTAATAATGCATTACAATACATTATTTCCCTGGAATAAGGAGATGTATATAAACACTTCCTCAAAACTTACCAGAGTTGCTAATATAAAAAATCCTGAAAACCCCAAATGTGAATCTAGCAGAGCCCAGGACTGAAGACAGCAAATACAGTAGCCTTCCCTAAGTAGCATATAACTTCATGTAGCAGAGAAACTCTAGCAAGCTTCTAGGTTTCTGAAGAGTATTAAGCACTACATTGTTTTCAAATCTAGTCCCAGCAACAATCAATAATAACATTGCATCTAGGATCAGGGAACAAGTCACAGAGAAAATATACAGAAATAATAACACTTTCTTTTTTTAGATTAGAAAATATAATTTATTTAGAAAGTAAATGAGAGAGAGAGAGGTTTCACCTCCCCAAGATAGGGGAGGAGGCCAAAGCTTAGGAAAACATGACAGCGGCCATAGCTCAAAGAACACATGGCCAGACCATAGCACAGCAAGGCAATGGCCAAGTAATAACTCCCAGATCCTGCTCAGCAATAAGGTTGATGCATTATCTTATATCATTCTCCAAATACTGAAAGCAGAATTGTTGTTGGCAACTATGGCAGTCTTCCTTAAGAAATGTATTATGGTTTCTAAATGAACATTTTGTTTTAACTCCTGCAGGAGTTGGCAACTGTCCACTGGATGTTTGTACAGTCTAAGAACTATGAATGGTTTTTACATTTTTAAAGAATAGTCAAAACCAATCCAAGACAATATGCAACACAGACCATTGTGGTTCACAAAGGCTAAACTATTTATTGTCTGGCCCTTTAGAGGGAAGTGTGCTAATCTGTAAGGACTGAGACTTTGGGGCTGTAAGCTCCACTCACCAGAATGTAAACTCCATGGAGGAAGAGACTTTTTTTTAATTATAGAAAATTTCAAACATATACAGTAAGAGAGAATGAACACTCAAATACCTGTCACCCAGTTTCAACTAAAAACTCATGACCACCTTGGGTTATCTCTAACTCCATCTACTTCTTTTCTTTTCCTTCTTGTGCACTATTTTGAAGGAAATCCTAGATATCCTATGGTTTCATCTATAAATATTTCAATATATAGCTTTAAAGGCCTTAAAAATATATACAACTACAATATCATTGTCACTCTGAAAAAAATCCCCCCTCCCAATTTTTTTTTTTTTTTTTTTTTTTTTGAGTTGGATTCTCACTCTGTCACCCAGGCTGGAGTGTAGTAGTACATTCATGGACACCCGCAGCCTCAACTTGCTGGGCTCAGGTGATCCTTCTGCTTTAATCTTCCAAATAGCTGGAACTACAGGCCCACGCCACCATGCCTGGCTAATTTCTCTTGATTTATTGTACAGATGAGGTCTTGCCAAGTTGCCCAAGCTGGTCTCGAACCTGTGGGCTAAGGCAATCCTCTCACCTCAGACTCCCAAAGTGCTGCGATTATGGGCGTGAGCCACTGTGCCCAACCCAATAAATTTCTTAATATCCAATAGATAATGTTCACATTTCCAATTTTCTCATAAATTGGAATATTTTTTACATTTTGTTTTAATCAGATTCCAAATTGGTTGTGACTGATGGATATGTCTTTCAAGTCTCTTTTCATCTATAAGTTTCCACTCAAATTTTTTTTGGTTCCTTGCAGTTTACTCATGGATACCAGATTGTTTGCTCTGTGGAACTTCTCACAAGCTATTTTGTGAACTGCATTCCCTGGTGAAGTTTAACTGCTTCTCAGCCCTGTATTTTTCGAGAATTGGTTGTTGGATCTAAGAAGAGTGCTGTCTAATACAAATATAAAGCAAACTACATATATGAGTTTCCTGTGGGCTGCTGTACCACAGACTTGACTCAATACAACAGAAATTTATTCTGTCATGATTCTGGAGGGCAGAAGTTCAAAATCAAGGTGATGGCAGGGCTGTGATCCCACTAAAGACAATAGAGGAGAATGCCCTTCTCGTTTCTTTCAGTTTTTGGTGGCTATCAGCATTCATTGTAGTTATAGCACTTCAGTTTCTGCCTTTGTCATAGGCTTCTCTCTTCCTTCCTCCCTCTTTTTCTTTCCCTTCCTCCATCCCCTTCTTTCTTTTCCTTTTGTTTTTTTGAGTCAGTTTTACTCTGTCACCCGGGCTGGAGTGCAGCTACCACAGATTCGACCTGCTGGGCTCACGCGATTCTTCCATCTCAGCCTTCCAAATAGCTGGAACTACAGGCATATGCCACCACACTCAGCTAATTTTGTGATTTATTGTAGAACTGAGGTCTTGCCAAAAGCCCAGGTAGGTCTCGAACTTGTGGGTTCAGACAATCCTTTCACCTGTTTTCCAAAGTGCTAGGATTATAGGCATGAGCCACTATGCCAAGCTCTTCTTTTTAAAATAGAGACAGGGTCTCACTATGTTACTCAGGCTGCTCTTAAACTCTTAGACAAGTGAGCTTCCTGCTTCAGCCTCCCACAGTGCTGGGATTACAGGCATGTGCCACGGCACCTGGCTTCTTCTCTTTGTTTCTGTGCCTTCTCTTTCTCTTATAACAATTTCATTGTATTTAAGACCCACCCTCAATAATCTAGCATGATCTGATCTTGAGATCCTCAATTATATTTACCCAGATCTCTTGACACAGAGACCCATTATTGCCTGTCCATATTGCCACAACCCCTAAAAAAAGGCATGGCAAATGTTCCAGTGGGCCTGCATGTACCCACATTCATGCGAGTTAAAAAAGAAAAGCATTTCCCCTTATCTCCTATGCACTCCCAGTAAATAACTTCAAAGAATCTTTAACTTCCTTGAAGATTGTGCCCAATTAACTGAGATAAATGAATCCCCACTCAACTCCCTTTTCTTAGTAGTCATAGGTTTGAATAATATAGTACCAATGTAACCATAAGTCTGTATAACTTTTGCATACTAATAACAAGATGTAGTAATGAATGGTGTCTTAGACCTTATTACCTCCCATTACTTTTGTAATGTCACTTTTTCTATAGCAAGCTTGATTAATGGCTCTGCTTGATGTTATTGATAAGAAGTTGTGAGATACCTCTGATAACCAGTGCCAGGAAATGTGGACCATTAATGTCATTACTGACAAAATGAGGCTGTAACTGAAGTTCTATACAATGTCTGCCAGTCATGCAATCAATGTATAGGTACTAACAACCCTGAACGTATAAAAGCAGACTGTAAAACCTGAAGGGTGAGAAGACCTATTTCAGAAAGGCCAGCCTCTACTCCCTAAATTCAAATTCAGATATAAACTTCTTGCAGTATTGTGATAAATGTTTAGGGTCCACTCAATATAATAAGAAATGGACTGGCAGTAGCGGGACACTGCCAGAGAAGGGAGGAGGGGTAAATAACATCAATAAGGGTACCGGATTGTAAACCAGGCAAAGTGAGGACCAATGGGAGGCCCAGACTTCACCTGTACGTTGATACTTATGTACCTAATCCTGAATTGTACCCTACATCTTTAAAAATAATAATTTAAAAAAAGAAACAAACTTATTTCTACCAATTCCCTGCCTCTAGATTTACTGGTATCAAGGGATGGCAACTAAGTATTACTCGTACTATAACACTCTTTCCCAAATAAGGTTCCATTCACTGTTTCCAGGGGTTAGGACTTAGATGAATCATTTTAGGGGCCACAGTTCAACCTGCTAGAGAATGAAATATATAACAACAGTGAATGAAGAAAAATGTTACATATAAAACAAAAATGTAAATTTTTCATAATAATGCCATTGTTTTGGCTATCTTCTTTGGGTTTACTACCAACTTCATTCTGTATCTTATTTGCTGAACTTTTGTAATGTCACTTTCTTATTTCCTTTTAAAAATGTCTTTCTTCTTAATTCTGAAAATTTTCTCCTCAATTTATCTTTTGTTGATCATAAACATTATTTTTTGTGTTTATTTGCTTCAGTGTTTTTTCTAATTTAGTCTGCATATATGAAATATCTTTTTTTTTTTTTAAAGGTTTTTTTTTTTTTTTTTTTGAGTTGGAGTCTCATTCTGTCACCCAAGCTGGAGTGCAGTGGCATACTCATGGCCACTACAGACTCAACCTGCTGGGTTCAGGTGATTCTTCTGCCTCTGCCTTACAAATAGATGGAACTACAGGCATGTGCCACCATGTCCGGCTAACTTTTTGATTTATTGTAGAGATGAGCTATCATCAAGTTGCCCAGTTGGTCTCAAACCCCTGGACTCAGGCAATCCTCTCACCTTGGCCTCCCAAAGAGCTGGGATTATAGACTAATGCTACCATGCCGACCACGTCTAATTCTTTCCTGAATTCTGTAACTTCGTTTATTAGTTTTTCTAATACTGATTCATTTTTTCCATAACTTCTATCATTTTTCTGAATTTCTTTCAGCTTACGTGGGAAATTAGATTAGTATTCATGTTGTTGGCATGCTTTTGTAAACACTATGCCTCAGCAGCTCTAATGCTGTCTTCCCAGAATCTTTTGGAGACTTTATTCATCATTGCCTTTGACCCAGCACGTTTTCCCCAGCGAGTGAGAGAACACAATTAAAAGGTTGTTGAATGAATAAAACTCTGTTACTATTATAGGTTTTAGAAAATCAACACTAGCAATAACTCTAAGCTGCCGTGCTTTTAAGTAAGGTAATGAGAAGACAACTAATGGATATAGACAAAGCTTACAAACTGCTAGTTCAAAGATCCTCTTATGCCAATAAAGAACTCTCCTGCTCCAAATGGCAACGATGCATCAACTGAGATAACTGTCTATCAAGTAAACTACATACTATATTTATGCTTCTGTCTCCATAGTGCTCTGATTTTAGCTGTAAACCAGAAATGCTTCCTATATTATAAAAATCTACTCTATAGCCAGGCGTGGTAGCGTGCGCCTGTAGTTCCAGCTACTTGGAAGGCTGAGACAGAAGGATTGCCGGACTCCAGCAGGTTGATGCTGCGGTGGCTGGGAGCCGCCACTACACTCCAGTCTGGGTGACAGAGTGAGACTCCAACTCAAAAAAAAAAAAAAATCTACTCCAGAATACTTTAACTGGTTTGTGGAAATATTAAAAAAAATTCGCTATATTACACTTTAAAACTTTAAATAATCTATATTAATGTCATCTAAGTGTTTAGCAAGTGAAACTTGTGGTAATACTTAAAAGATGCCTTGAAAAAGTAGTAATTGCCATGGAAATGAAGTATCAAATTATAGAGTAGGGCAATCACCAAAAAATACCACCCTATTAATTTATAATATATATTGATTTGTTACTCAGAAACCTATCCCTTCAATTTATTCTCAGTCCTATGAATAAATGAAAGATTTATTTATGTATCTTGAATTATTAGAAATTCTTAAAAATACATTCCTTGTGGAAACTACCACGACTTTGCACTTAATAAATTGCTAACAAAAACCTAAGCACCCATCCACAAACTACTTCAAAACGTCTAAGGAATATTTGGTTCAATCTGCTTTCCTTTTTATGATTACTAACAAGCTCCATAAGGTTGCTTTTCTTAGTTGTTCAAACATTTACTAATTAAAAGCCTGAAGTTAATCATGACAGCTAATGTTATCCCCCATTATCTTCTACAGGATGCAATATAGCATGATGATCAAGAATCAAGCTCTAAAGTCAGACTGACTTGGCTGGGTGTGATGGCTCTTGCCAGTAACCCAAGCGTTTTGGGCGGTGGAGGCAGGAGGACTGCCAGAGCCTAGGAGTTCAAGACCAGCCTAGGCAATACAGCAAGACCTTGTCTTTACAAAAAATAAATTAGACAAGGGAGGTTGACTGCCTGAAGTCCCTGCTACTGAGAATATTGAGGCAGAAAGATCATCTAAGTCCAGGCTGAGACTGTAGTGAGCCATGATCATACCACTGCATGCCAGCCTGGGTAATATTGAGACCTTGACTCAAAAAATAAAATAAAGTCAGACTGGTAAGGTGTGCATCTCAACTTTAAGCAATTTGTCTAAGGCTCAAAAAGAACATTATGTCTTTTCTTCACACTTGTAACATAAAGATAATTTAAGTCAGACTCTTTAAGTCATTGTGAGGATTAAGGGATATAACTATAAAGTACTTATAAACAGTGCCTGGAATGTGGAAAATCCTTGATATACATCAAAAATGATAATAATAATAATGACTGTGTCTCATCTTGCCATACACAGGACAAAAGCTAATATATCTTAAAACTCCATAGCATTTTGTGATGACTTTCTATAACTTGATAATTAAAAATATGAAGATAGTTAAATGGAGTCTGATGAAAAAAACAGGACCACTACTTAACTGTATGTTATAAATACATTATTTTCACTTTTAAAATTTTTTTTTTATTTTTTAAGATTCAAGTGGTATTTGTGCAGGTCGTTATGTAAGTATATTGCATGGTGGTGAGGCTAGGGGTTCTACAGAGCCCATCATAAGCTGGGTGCAGTGGCTCACGCTTGTAATCCCAGAACTTTGGGAGGTGGAGGCAAGAGGAATATGTCAGAAATACTTCAACTTTAGAGGCCCAGAGTTCAGACAAAGTTTTTATTTTGATTAAAAAAAATAAACTTCACAAAATTCCTAGTCCAATATCTAATATTTATTACTGGAAGAATATCATGATAATTTTGAAGAATTTTGTTCTTTCCTCCTTTCTGTTAACTCTGTAATTATGAATTCAAATTTCATACCTGCAGTAATGCCAGACCTTCTTTATTAGCTTTTTCCTGTGCCCTTTCCATATTCAGTAGACTTGACACGTTAGTTAAATCTTTTAGCTTTTTGGGAGGGACTTCCAGGGTTTCACATACTTGTAGCAATCTTAGGGACAGAATAAAAACATGATTAGTTTGTTTATTCTTGAGTACTATTAGTATTATTTTTGTTTTGAAAGATTTTTTTTCTGCTCTCATATTTTTAAGGGCACATTATTCTTTTATTAACAGTGGCTAACTATGGCAGTATATCCTATCAAAAAGCCCTTACAAATCGTCATCTAATCTTTCAATTTATTAAGATTTACCTCAAATTATAGGGCACTGAGGCTACTTTACTAAAGGAAAATTTTCTACAATTTATTTTTATTAATTCCCCCGCCTTTTTTTTTTTTTTTAATTTGAAGCCTTACCCTGTCACCCAGATTGGAGTACTGCAGCAAAATCATAGCTTACTGCAGCCTTGAACTCCTGGGCTCAAGCAATCTTCCCTCCTCAACCTCCTGAGTAGCTGGGACTACAAGGGTATATTACCACAACCATATTAATTTTTTTATTTTTTGTAGCGATAAAGCCTTGCTATGTTGTTCAGGTTGGTCTTGAACTCTTGAGCTCAAGTAATCCTCTTGCCTTGGCTGCCCAATGTGCTGGGATTACAGGTATGAGCCAACACACCTGGCCACAATTATTTATATATATTTTAAAATTAGAATTTTCTTGTAACACCCTGATATGTTTCCTAGATTATTACAGCACATAAATATATCACTTATTGTGAATTGTTGGGTAAGTGATAGAAGTCTTAACTATGGCCCTGAACCCCAAATCTGTTATTTTAGAGAATGCAACCAAAAACACGCAAGTTTTACATTAGTTACTCTGAATAATTTCAAAGAAAACTGAGTTTACCATAGAGTTGAAAGGAAAGAGAACACTAACATTAAAGTGTTTTGCTCTACAATATTATTAACATGAATACTATTAAATACTAAAGTTAAAAAAACTACAAAATTGAGTTGATTGAATCACCAGTAGAAACTGATCTATTTCTACTCACATTCAACAGAGAGCAAGATTTGATTATTGAATTCCCTGGGGAAGAAAAGCTAAAAGTTGGTTGCTTCTATCTAAAGCAGTATCTCTAGGTTCTAAAACTTTCACTAGTTAAGATCTGAAGAAATTTAATCAGCAGCAAATGCACTATTCTACTTCTAGGATAGTGTTAAAAATCCTACCTTTTATAGAGTAAAGAGTAAGCAGCAAAAAGTCTGCAAATCATAATTCTAATTAAATTGTAACAACAAATTCCAGTTACTCAGAAATCTTCATTAGGTGATCATAACTTAAGCATAAAAATCTGTCTTTAAGCAGTTTATCATTCCTTCTAGCAGTCTTTAACCTGTTCAACCTCTCTCAACAAACTCCCACTTGCACTCACCCCATCCCACCTCACTCTTTCTTTCTATTTTGCTACTATGGGTTTAAAGCTATACTTAAACAAATGTGAAGTGAAGGAAAAACACAGCAACTGGATAAATATCGGACAGCTAAAAATGGTGACCTGTTAACTTCAAATTGTTAAAAATGAAGTTGAAGAAAGTTGAAGAAATACTTTTAAAATCCCCAAACTGAAGAGTGAACTGTGGAAACAGGCATTTTGTGATTTTCACATTTTTTTTAAAACAAATTCTCTGAGATTTATTTTAGAAACACATGCAGCAGTTGCATAGGGAAGAAAGAATACATATTTTCAAATTGTTCACGCGCTTACAAAACAGAAAAACTTATGTTCCACAAGTAGTTTTGACATGGGAAGATGTCAGATTTTTAAAATTATGTTTCACCATTTTACATTGCCTAGCTATATTACCTTTTCTTCAGGAAGTTCAGATGATACTGTATTTCTTCTTTTCCTTTAATAATGTCACTCAAAACTGTACTAGAAAAGAGATTGAATAAATTGTAGTTTAAAATGCAAATAATAGATTCTGTGTACTTTTTCTCTCTGATTTCTCTCTTTTTTTCTTTTGAGTTGGAGTCTCACTCTGTAGCCCAGACTGGAGTGCAGTGGCATGCTCCTGGCCACGGCAGCATCAACCTGGTGGGCTCTGGCGATCCTTCCACCTCAGTCTTCCAAGTAGCCGGAACTACAGGTGAGTGCTACCATGCCTGGCTAATTTTTGATTTATTGTAGAGATGAGGTCTCGCTAAGTTGCCCAGGTGGGTCTCGAACCCGTGTGCTCAGGTAATCCACTCACCTCGGCCTCCCAAAGTGCTGGGATTACAGGCTGAGCCACCGAGCCCGGTCTGATTTCTCTTAAGTATCTCTCCCCCACTAGACAGGCAGAATCAATTGCTTTTTCTTTTGTATTTAATACACTTTAAACAGAAGTACAATGGAAAAAAAATTTGGAGTTCAACTCTGTGATAGCAGAATTCTGTCTTATTTTCTATCAGGCCACAGAGATTTCTTTTTAATTTCACTAATGAAATCCCGTGTTTATAAAATAAAGATTTTTTGCAGAAGGCTAATACCACCGCAAGACATTTCTATTTCTGAAATAGAAAAAATATGCTATCAACTTAAAATAGACAGTAATATTTAGATGGGTAATGTCCATAGGGAACACGTAAGTGAAAACCAAGAGAGAAATGAAAAACTTTTATACTTACATTATTACTGATTCCATTATAGTTCCCAAATGCTCTCTGCTACTCTTTGAAACAGGTTGCCAGGTTTTCCTCTTGATGGATGCTATCTTTACTTGTTTTATATTAGTATGCTTTGTTTGTCCTGTCACTGGTAATAGAAGAGACTCTGATTAATCTGGAAGTTTGCATGTTTTTACTTAAAAAGTAATTTTTTTAATCCAAAAAGTTTGCAAAATTATGAGAACAAAATATTGTAAAGCTGCATAAACAATTTACTTTTTATTGCACAGCTATAATATGCCAGGTGTTGAATATGAATATGCTGTATATTGTTATGTAGTGTGAAATACTATTAAGTGATATTGCAACACAAACCCAAAACAAAAATTTTAAATAAAAAACAAAGCTATGATTACTACAAGTATGGCTCTCAGAAATGACTTGAATTCTTTAGAAACTTCATTATAGTATTGGCTCTCATGACAATCAGTTTTGTAGAAAAGGGATGTTAAACATATATTTTGTAATGTTTACAAAAGAATAAAAGTACATACTATAAAGCATTACAAAAGAACAAATAAGCTATATTTATACATACTTATACATACTATAAGCTATGAAACATACTGGCAACAGAGGACCTAAACTTGTCTTGAATGAGGAATAGAGAATCCTTCCATGAAGATGTGATGTTTAAACAAAGATGACTACTCCAAACTAATTTACTCCAAAGTAATTTATACTGGAACAAAAGTACATATGTCTTGTAGAGAAATTAGTAGGTTTGTTTTTCACATCACAGATTAGTAATAATTCAGACTGTGGGCCACTTTGATTTTCTCTAGTTTCTGTCAACATAGTGGCATAGAAGACTTCACAGTATTTTGCCAGAGGTGTCAAGTAAAATTAAAATTGACCAAATAAATGACTAATCAGTACTCCCTATTCTTGCAAAAATGCAAATGTAACTGTGTATCACTATGTTTTGCTCTTGCAGAACTCATAAACAAGATGCTGAGAATTTTTTTATGTATATAGCTGAGAAAGAAGTAACTTAAATAAAATAGAAAAAAAATTACCTTCCGAAGACAGATGCTTTGTATGATTATTTCTTTTCACTGTATTTCTAACCTAGAGGGTAAAACATAGGTATAAACACACACAGAATTAAACATAAGATAAAATGATACTGCTTTTACAATAGATGTGTCATGTATGTTGAAGAGTATTCATATAACTTCTAACAGGTAGAAAAAATATATATGCCACATTTAAAGAAGAAGGGTGTATTTATCACAGGCAGAAGATATACTAAAGCAATCTTTGGAAAATGGTGATAACAGAATTTTATACAGTGTCAAAGAATATTTTAAATAAACCATTTTACTTTGCCTGTGAAACAGTGTTACACATATTAACTGCAAAACAAATGTAAGTACTGCCTAATGAGCTGGGTGGAACAAGGAATAAAGTTTTGACTAATTAATTTAGTCTTTTATAAGAGAGAGGAAAATGATAGTATGAAGCAGGTAATTCCTCCTAATTGCATGATTTTTTCTCTATATTAATAAAAATCTCCCCCACCAAAATGACAGGTTCTCTTGTCTTTAAGCATTTGTACACCTTGTTCCTAATCTTTGCATTTAAACACTTTAGCAATCCCCCTGACACCCTCTTCCTCAAATAATTTTATGAAATTGACCCTTAGTCTTCACATATTCTTCTTTTCATAGAACAGAATATACTTCTTTTTTTCTTTTTTTTTGACTTGGAGTTTCACTCCGTCGCCCAGACTGGAGTGCAGTGGCCGCTCCCGGCCACCGCAGCCTCGACCCACTGGGCTCCAGAGATCCTTCCACCTCAGCTTTCCGAGTAGCCGGAATTACAGGCACGTGCTACCATGCCCAGTTGATTTTTTTTGATTTATTGTAGAGATGAGGTCTCGCCAACTTGCCCAGGCAGGCCTTGAACCCGTGGGCTCAGGCAATCTACTCACCTCAGCCTCCCAAAGGCGCGGGATTACAGGCTGAGCCACCGAGACCGACTAGAATATACTTCTAACCAAAAAGTTCTAAATGATATATCTGACGTTTTCATTACCTTTTTCTCTGACACCTTTGCTTCCTCATCATCAGTTTTTCTTTTTGGATTTCTTTTCAACTGCTGAGATGCTTTCTTGAAAGTATTTGCTTTACCAGACATCTTGATCTAAACAGGACAATTATAATAGTACCTCCAAAAAATCTGTGAAGATGAAAAAAAACCAAAAAAATGCTAAAGGCTCTCACAATATTTTGTTAAAAAGACTACCTAAAATGTTCTGAATTCTCCTTTAAAAAAATCATTAATAAAAGTTTAGGGGTAGTATTGTATATTTTTTTAAACGTTAAAAAATATTAAAACAAATAACGTTGGCTCTCATCAAATAGACATTTAATTCTATGTCATTCCTGAAAATCACTTTGACTTGTATGACTCTAAAAAATTATTTATGTATTTATATTTGAGTTGGAATCTCACTTTGTCACCCAGGTTGGAGCACAGTGACATGCTCATGGCCACCGCAGCCTCAACCTGCTGGGCTCAGGTGATCCTTCTGTCACAGCCTTCCAAGTAGCTGGAACTACAGGTGCAAGCCACCACACCTGGCTAATTTTTTGATTTATTGTAGAGATGAGGTCTTGCCAAGTTTTCCAGGCTGGTCTTAAACCCCTGGGCTCAGACAATCCTTTAGGCTCCGCCTCCCAAAGTGCTGGGATTATAGGTGTGAGACACCGCATCTGGCAAAAAATCATTTAAAAATGCTTTTGCATTTCATACTTATGCTCCCTCATATAATAACATTATCTACATGTTTAAATCCAAGAAACAGAAACATGATTTGATCACAGATACTGTCAATTTGAGGAGTAACACCCAGGTCTTCTAATTTTAAGTAATGGATTTACCATTACTCAATTTTTTCCAGAGATGAAAGGTGATAATTTTTAGGATTATATCATCAATCTGTGTTGTAGAAATTCACGTGATAGTCTGCCATTCATAGGATCTAAACTGCAATCCTATCAGGGCTATGTGCATTTTAAGAGTACAGAAGTATGTGATTGCTCTGTCCGCCCACAGACTACAAAGCAGACATGGGTTAGGGATGGTGATGTCAACATTTAGAATAACTCCTTTTCCCTCTTTAGTAGTCCTTTATTACCATACTTATTTCTAAAATAGGGAATAGAGGTACTGGTAACTTATTCTTACACTAGACAGTAAGAAGTAGATAGCTTAGAAGTTAGGTACAGCTGGGCATGGTGGCTCATGCCTGTAATCCCAGTACTTTGGGTGGTGGAGGCGAGAGGATTGCCTGAGTCCAAGGATTCGAGACTAGCCTGGGTAACTTGGTGAGAACTCATCTTTACAAAAAATCAAAATATTAGCCAGGTGTGGTGATGCACACCTGTGGTTGCAGTAACTTGGAAGGATCACTTGAGTGCAGCAGGTTGCGGCTGTGGTGGTGGTTGAGCATGCCACTGCACTCCAGCCGGGCGACACAGTGAGATGACTACTCAAAAAAAAAAAAGTTAGGTATAGTATACAAGGAAATATGTAATACATATATACATGTGTGTATATACATTTTTATAGGCATATGTATAGATATATAAATTAGTCACCAATTCTTTCTAAACATTCAGAATTATATTAATAGTTTAAGTATATATGCAAATTTAGAGACAGTAAAGCAAATTTAGAGACAGTAAAGGTGATATTTTATTTATTTATTTTTGAGTTGGAGTCTCACTCTGTCGCCCAGACTGGAGTGCAGTGGCCGCTCCCGGCCACCGCAGCCTCGACCTGCTGGGCTCCGGCAATCCTTCTGCCTCAGCCTTCCGAGTAACCGGAATTACAGGCATGCGCTACCACGCCCGGCTGATTTTTTGATTTATTGTAGAGATGAGATCTCGCTGCCCAGGCGGGTCTTGAACCCGCAGGCTCAGGCAATACACTCACCTCAGCCTCCCAAAGGCGCGGGATTACAGGCTGAGCCACCGAGCCCGGCTTAAAGGTGATACTTTAGATAAACCTATTCCTTCAAATTTCAAAAGCTTCAAGTTTTTTTTTTTCAGCAAGACTGAAAAAAAGTAGTGAGAAAGAATTAACTGAAAGATCATAAACTACATTTAGTGACTACATATCAGATCAGTTATAAAAAGCAGTGGAAGTCAAGATATAACTTTACTATGCTCTTGAACAATGTGACAACTCACTCTATGCCCAGTTCCTATCATGTGCTCTACTTCTAAAATGCCTAAATCACTCAACTTGATATCTATGTCCTTATACTTCGTCTACTTAAAAACCTATCCTTATGAGACATTTTCACCTGTGGACCTCTCCCTCAAAGGGTTGACAGGTACAGCAACTTGGGCTGTTAACTGAATAAGAGTATTCAGGTGAGGGGGCAAGTGATGGCTAAGATTTAGATTTAAAATGGTACAAATTCCTTCTCACTAGTATAATGACAGGTAGGGTCTATGTCCACTTGTCTTAAATCTTGGCAGGTGGTAGCTGAACAGTAAATGGTAGAGGTGATTTTGTTTTAGTTCACTGGCCTAAGCATGAAGAAACTGGCAGCTTCAACTTCCTCTTGCTTGGAAACACTTGTTCTTGGAACCTAGACATATGAGAAGGGCCAACATGCAGAGGAACTGAAACCCCAGGCAAAAGTCCTAGTTGAGATCCCAGCTATTTGCTAACCTGGTACATGTGCCTAAGTCAAAATGCTGCAGCTCACACTGCATGGACAAGGCAGGAACCAGGCCTGCCAAGTCCCTCCCTACCCCAAAATGTGGCACATAACAAGTGACTAAAAAAAATCTATCCTGGCTGTGCGAGGTGGTTCATGTGTGCAATCCCAGCACTCTGGGAGGATGAGACAAGACTGCTTGAGCCCAGGAGTCCGAAATCAGCCTGGGCAACATAGCAACACCCCACCTCAACCAAAACCAAAATCAAAACCAAAACCAAACCCACCCCAATACCTATGTGTAACATCCAAACTGTTTATCAGATCATTTATACTTCTTAAGTCAGACCCTGCCTAGATTTCCTACTTCTCTTCTACTACTCCTTAATTGAATCTCCCTCTCTAGCTAGATTTGATGGTTTCTTGAAGACACTTTGGGTAACTCTGCCTCCCAAGCACATACAGTACCCTCTACCCGAGCTGCTCTCTCCCTCTCAAGATCACGAGCTACCTCCTTCACAAAGTCTTTCTAACCACTCAAACTTGATTTTCTCTCCAAAAGTCTTGGGCTCTTATCGTCTCTCACTTGGCACTTACAGTTTGGTTCTGTTAATCATTTTTTTTCTTGATCTCCTTTACTCAGTACAACCGAATTCATGTCATTCAGTGCTACTCCAAATCTGGTTCACATACTGGCAATCCTTTCGAGTATAGAATTAGAGAGCAATAACTTAAAAACTTTACGGCAATTTGACAGAGTGAGCACGGCTTTTGGCAAAACACAGATAAACACTAGTCTCTAAGGCTACACTTCGCTCCATTACTGGCTGCGAGAGAGATTGAGGAACGAAGATGAAGATGACTAGGGGGAAGAAAAATGCGTGGCTTCGCTTCTTCCTAGCGAATCAAGTATCTCAATCCGCGGACCCAAACGGCCGGCCTGCTAGGACTTCAGGCATTTCCCCTTCAAAAATCCCACCACACTCCTCGAATACAAACCACGGAGTTTGCCACAAATGAGTTGGACACAAAACTCACCTCCCAACTCGGACCCACCCAATGGGTGAAATTCACGACCCACCACTGGTTTCTCTCGAACCCTTCTTGGAACCGGGTTCAGAAGCTTTCGCGCCCAAACAACCGAACACCCACGATAACCGGAAGTGGGCGGAAAAAATCGGAAACGCCGCTACCGGGAGGCGGGTCTCTAGCCGTACTGATACGTCATCAGGAGCGCGCCGCGAGAGTGCGATCAGATTGGCTGGAGGGAGGGCGGTGTCGGTCTACGCCTCCCAACTCGGCTGGCTGGCGTTGGCGTTTGCTCAGTGTGTGTGTGTTTGGAGGGGGCTGGGGGACTACCTGTGTGGACCTCTTGACAGGTGAGGAGAGGTGCACGGAAACCCATTCGCCTTCTTTCACAGCGGAGGCCGAAACAGGTCGACCAGTGAGTAGCACTGTGTACCTTTCAGATCCCTCCACTCTTCTAGCTCCTCTCTCCTCTACCCCTGAGCTTTGAGCCTCTGTCCTTTCCCTACTCCTCTGTCCTTTGCTTCGTTCTTCTTTCCCATCCTACTGTGAAGGGATCTCACTCTCTTCCTACTGTGAGTTGTCTTTGGGAATTCGGAGGCACCCCTGGAAAGCCATGTCGCTGTCTTCTATGGTGACCCAAGCACTCCGAAGTCCCGGAGGCAGAGGTCACTTCTTATACGGTTCCAGAGGGGTGCGCTTGCTCCATGGCTGCCGCCTCTCTAGATTATGCCCGTTGTAACTGTTAGGGTTTTCGTTAAGCATTAGCGGGGCTAAACATAATTGTTGTATGAAAACAGGGTTGGGTCTGAAGCTGGAGTAGGAAAGAAAGACAAGGAATCGACATACAAGCTTAAATTATTAATTTGTTCTCAATTTCGTCCAGAAAGAAAGTGGTCTTTCAGAAGATCGAAGCCCCGGATACTGTGTATAAAGTTTTAAACCACTTGATGATGTTTCTCCGATATACTTTTGTATTTATTTACTTATGCTAATATTAAGTAGAATTTGCATGCCTAATGTTTTCATCTCCAACCCAAATTGGTTGAGTATTGAAGTACTTTCTTGGAATATTAATATTAGTGTGGAACATGTCAAGAGTCAAAACTTGAAAGTTATGTGGTTCAGAAATGTTTTCTCTTACAGATTTTTTTTTTTTTTTTGAGATATAGGGATGGGCTTCATCATTGCTCTTTAACACGTTCTAATTTTAGTAACATATTTGTTTGCATGTTACTTCTTTGGATGTTTGAGCCCTCTCTTAATAGGTCTTCTGAGAAAATTCAGACGTTTTATAGATATCAGCAGTAGTTGTGTTTTTATCTAACAATGGTGTCTATTTCTAGCCTTCACCACTTTGCATGGGGTTTTCAGGAAATTCCTATTACACAGGGCTCTTCCCTATCATTTGTTCAGGTTAGGATAGCCCACAAGCATTTTACGTGAAATGAGTGTGATATTTCCTGCCAACAGTTTAGACTCAGGTCATTTTCAAATTACCTTTTATATATTACTACTGAAATGGTTTAGTTGTAATTTCATTATTTTTTCTCATCTACCTTTTAAGCTAGTAAATGTAGTGGATGACTTGTAAAAAAGGTGGATGACAAGGACCCCTTGGATTTAATAGAATAAAAGCCATAATAGCTTTAAAAACTAATGGAAGTTGTTTTTGTTGTATTTCCATTTAGACTTTGTTGTATGCACTTTTAATGTAGTCGGACGCATTGCATTTACAATTTTGTGTCCCGATTCTTTTACTTAATACTTTTAAAGCCTATCTCCTTTTTTAAAAAAGAAACTATGCATAACAAAGTTTTAGCTTTTTACTTATGTGATATACTTATAGAAAGCGTACATAAATGTACAGTTTGATGAATTTCTTTTTTTTTGAGTTGGAGTCTCACTCTGTCGCCCAGACTGGAGTGCAGTGGCGGCTCCCGGCCACCGCAGCCTCGACCTGCTGGGCTCCGGCGATCCTTCCGTCTCAGCCTTCCAAGTAGCCGGAATTACAGGCATGCGCTACCACGCCCGGCTGATTTTCTGATTTATTGTAGAGATGAGGTCTCACTGCCCAGGCGGGTCTCGAACCCGTGGACTCAGGCAATCCACTCACCTCAGCCTCCCAAAGGCGCAGGATTACAGGCTGAGCCACCGAGCCCGGCGCTCTTTTTTCGTTATAAAGATGTGGGGTACAATTCAGGATTAGGTTTACAAACCTTTATTATGCAGGTACTCTTGTTGATGAGGTGTGCCCCTCCCTCCCCTAGCAGTTTCCCTCAACTGCCAATCCCACCCCCTCTCCCCTGACAGTTTCCCACTACTGCCAATTCCTTTCTTATAGTAGTATAATTGTTCAAGGTCCGCTTATGAGTGAGAACATACGATACTCTGTTCTTTGTTTCTGTGATAGATCAGTGAGTATGATCGACTCTTAATCCATCCAAGTTGCTGTGAAGTCCATATGTTTGTGTTCTGCTTTGTGGCTGCATAATATTTCATTGTGTATATGTACCACAATTTTTTTTTCCAGTTCAGCTTCAACGGACAGCATGGATGGTTCCATGTTTTTGCTATTGTGAATAGAGCTGCAACAAACATACATGTGCAGGTATCTTTTTTGTAGAATGATTTGAGTTCCTCTGGGTATATTCCCAATAGGGGAATTGCTGGGTCATATGGAAGGTCAATTGCTAGTTCTTTCAGAAATCTCCACACTGTGATGAATTTCTATAAACAGAACACATCTGTGTCATTCATATCAAAACCATAATCCCCCAAATCTCCCCTTTTGCTCTTTTTCTGTACTAACCACCATAAGTAATCACTCTTCTGACTTCTGAAATCAGATTAGTTTTGCTTGTTTTCTAAACATATTTTAATAACTACATAAAATTATATTATTTGTGATCAAATAATTCACTATTCTTATGTTAAATATTTATGATTTTTCTAAGTTCCCTCCACTACAAAAAAAGGATAGGGAACATCTATTTATGTATTGTTGGAGGAGCTTTCCCAGGAGTGTAGTGGCATAAATATTTTTGAAACTTTTAATGTATATTAACAAATTACTTTACAGAGTAGTTAAAGCAATTAATACTCCCACCAATGGTTTATGTCTTTTGTTTTATGACCCCATGATAAGTGTTCCTTCAAACTACACTAAATTTATAGGTAATAAATGGTGTGGAAAATATAATTTTAAGCTCATTTTACTTGTTGGCTTATCCAGTATAAAACAATATGGTATGGTGAATGTACTAATACAATTTGTATCCCGATATTTCTTTTTTTGTAATTTATTGTAGAGACAAGGTCTTGCTACGTTGCCCAGGTTGGTCTCAAACCCCTGAGTGCAGGCAGTCCTCTTGCCTCCGCCTCCCAAAGTGCTGGAATTATAGGCATGAGCCACTGCACCCAGCTGTATCCCAATATTTCTAAAACAGTAGGCTCCATATGTTTAGGCTTCATATGACAAGTACTTAGTAATTCTGATAAGTATTTAGTAATTCTGACAAGTACTTAGTGATTCAAATGAACAATTTACTACCTTTGCTAGGTGAGATTTTGACCAAGCCACTGTATTTCTTTTCTCTGAGTCTCTATTTCTACATGTGTAAAATGGTGAAATTAGACCTAGGCACCTAGTATAAGACTCTGCTAGTTATCTGGAATATACAACTCTAATGTTGGAACAGTTTATAGACTCGCAGGGAAGTAGATTACTAAACAAGCCATTTAGCTCACCTGGTGATTTCAGGGATTGGTTGTGAGCATATTCCATTACAAATAAAACTATTTGCAGTTTTATTTAATGTAAGAACTTTGAAATAGGCTGCGTAGTTTCAAATGATGACTCTTCTCTGCCTCGTTTTTCTAATCTATAAAATAAGGATAATATTAGTACCTACCTCTTGGTGGTGTTGAAAGGATTACAGTTGCTACTCTTTGAAATCTTTATAGCCTTCTATGTGCTTGACACATTAAAACCCTACATATTGGAGATAATGCCTTAGCTGAATTAGCCAAAGAAGAACATTCTAGACAGAAGGAAGAACAAGATCAGATTCTCAAAATCTTGATACATGCAGCAAACTATAGGCAATCCAGTATTTCTAGAACACAAAATGTATAGAGAGGACAAAAGGAGAGATGAGTCTGAGAGGTAAACAGATCAGGTCATGAAGGCCTTGATGCTTGTTTGTTTTGCTTAACACAATGCCTATCATACGGTAGGTATTTAATAAAAGTGTTTTGAATGAAAAAATAAATTGGAAGCATACTGTATCTTTCATCTGATACAGAGCCTTTGAAAAATTTCACAGAGTATGATGTAGTCAGATTTGCATTGATGTCATTTTATAGACTGGTCAGTGAGACCAGCTAAGAGGCAACTGAGGAAGAAGGCTGGAACTAGAACACTGATAGTAATTGTGGAGAAGAAGAGCCAAAGTTAGAAAATATGAGGTGCAAAAAGCAGAAAAGAGGAAGAAATGAAATCAGGTTAAGATACCCTCTTCCTTTTCCATTTTCACCTGTAGCTGCTATTTTTCCTCCCACTTCTATGGTATATACACTGTGTTTCTTTTTCTAGGTCAATTCTTGTTCCTATTGGATGTTTCCATGTTTCACCATGTTGAGGGCTAAGAACCAGCTTTTTTTACTTTCACCACATTACCTGAAGCAAGTAAAAGAATCATCCGGCTCCAGGTTCCTATGTCAACGACTTCTACACCAGCAACAACCCCTTCATCCAGAATGGGCTGCCTTGGCTAAAAAGCAGCTGAAAGGCAAAAACCCAGAAGACCTAATATGGCACACCCCAGAAGGGATCTCCATAAAGCCCTTGTATTCCAGGAGGGATACTATGGACTTACTTGAAGAACTTCCAGGAGTGAAACCATTCACACGTGGGCCATATCCCACCATGTATACCTTTAGGCCCTGGACCATCCGACAGTATGCCGGCTTTAGTACTGTGGAAGAGAGCAATAAGTTCTATAAGGACAATATAAAGGGTGAGATTTTAATGTAAGCCATTATTTATGATAAGACATAGACCTCCTAATTTTGGCTTTTTTTTAAGGGAAGCTGGTTAATCTCTGAAAAAGTGATACTCACTATAATTTTGTAACAGCGATACTCTGAAAAACGGATGTTTTTAACTTCTGTGATCATAAAGATAAGTGAGTCAAAATAAAGTGCTAAGTTCTTGAAAGTAAACAGCAATTACATACACATTGTTTAAAAGGAATCGGTTGAGGTGAAATTGCATGAAGAAAAGAGGCATTGACTTTGCGTTTGAAAAGCTTTTAATTAACATTGTTGGGAAAGGATTTGGAGCGAAAGATAGTTTAAATGTTGTCCACAGAAAACAATTAACACATGATAACATAGTACAGATATATTGAGTGCAATCTGCCATTTGTTCTCTGAAAATTATCTTACCTGTTATTTCTTCTTTTAATCTATAATAAAGTCATATTGTTTGAATGTTAAACTTGAGGGTTTATAAGTTTATATTACCCATGGAGGATGAAGTTATATTTAGTGTAGACTATCTTAGTTATTTAAAAATTTTGTATGATTTGTATAATTTTGTTTTTCAGAATATTTGAATAGCCAAGACATCCTGTTGTGACCATAGTAGATAAAAGAACAAAAAAGCAAATAAGTATACAAATACTAAATTGTTAACTGTTTATGAAGAACCAGATCTTTTCATGAATTTTAGAAATAATAAAGAATGTCAATGAAAAAAAAGCACCAAACTGTTAAGATAAAAGAGCACCAGGCTGAGTGAGTGGCTCATGCCTGTAATCACAGCACTTTAGGAGGTGAAGGCAAGAGGATTACCTGAGCCCAGGGTTTTGAGACCAGCCTGGGCAACTTGATGAAACCTCATTTCTATGATAAATCAAAAAATTAGCCAGGCATGGTGGCAAGTGCCTATAGTTCAAACTACTTGGAAGGCTGAAGCGGAAGGATTGCCTGAGCTTAGCAGGTTGAGACTACAGTAGCCATGAGCATGCCATTGCACTTCAGCTTGGGCGACAGAATGAGACTGACACCAAAATAAATAAATAAATAAATAAAGGCACCAAATTTTTAGATAAACGAGATGAGTGAGATATTGTGTTTTCCTTTTTTATAGTGAGGTCTGAAACTGAATTTGTGCATTTTTGCACATGGGAAGCAGCAGACTCTCTTAGGAAATGAAATCTCTTTATTGAAAAAAAATTTTTTTTTCTGATTTCGCTCTCATTCTGTCACCCAGGCCAGGCTGGAGTGCAATGGCACAATAATGGCTTACCACAGCCTCGACCTACTGGGCTCAGGCAATCCTTCCACCTTTGCCTCCAAGTAGCTGGGGCTGCAGGCTGAGACACCATGCCAGGCTATTTTTTTTTAATTGTTTGTAGAGATGAGATCTTGCTATGTTTCCTAGGTTGGTTTCAAACTCCTGGTTTAAGCAATGCTTTTTGTCTCAGCCTCCCATAGTGGTGAGATTACAGGTGTGATCCACCAAACCCAGTCTGAAGTTTGTATTGACATGTATGAGCATAAAAAATTTTGTTATACAAATTACTAGGATGAGGTGAATAAACATTTTTAGAAGTGTTAAAGTAAGTCATTTTACTTTGATGTCAGACTCTTCAATCATGTCAGACTCTTGATCTTACATTATTTTTCTTTATATATTTAGCTGGTCAGCAGGGATTATCAGTTGCTTTTGATCTGGCGACACATCGTGGCTATGATTCAGATAATCCTCGAGTTCGTGGTGATGTTGGAATGGCTGGAGTTGCTATTGACACTGTGGAAGATACCAAAATTCTTTTTGATGGAATTCCTTTAGAAAAAATGTCAGTTTCTATGACCATGAATGGAGCAGTTATTCCAGTTCTTGCAAATTTCATAGTAACTGGAGAAGAACAAGGTGTACCTCAAGAGAAACTTACTGGTACCATCCAAAATGACATACTAAAGGAATTTATGGTCAGAAATACTTACATTTTTCCTCCAGAACCATCCATGAAGATTATTGCTGACATCTTCCAATATACAGCAAAGGTATACTTTATGGTTATTATAGGTTTTGCTGTGATTCCTTGAATGTAGGAATTTTTACAACATGCTATCTCCTAATTTGAAAACTGAGTCTAAGTAATGGTTATAGTATAAAGTTAGGGTGTTTTATTGTTACGTTTTAGTTTTGTGTTTTTATTGTATTAATTTTTTAGTGCCTCATTACCTGTAGGAATCTGTATAATAGACCTTTTTGTGTTTTCTTTATTCTTAAAATTTAATTGTCTGATAATTGTTAGAATCAGGGATGTCACATAACTTATGTTTTTTTGGTTTCCTTCAAAATTCAGGTACAGTTGTGAAGTAGACATGTGTCAGACAGGGATCAGAATATCAGCTTTATTTCTGTTAAAACCTGGATTGGAAGCTGTCACTCATATCTGTAATGTTCATGAGGTCCCTAATATTCACCCCTGAATTAGATTCATCTTCCCCAATCAGAGTGGTGGGAAAAGAAGTTTTCTGTAGTGTTCTTATAGTAGGAGCAGTTTCTCCAAAGGGAAACATTTTCCTTCTTTCTTTTGAGCAATTCGTATATATTTCCCTCATTATTTGTACTTTGCTTCTTGCTAGCAATGCTTTCTTTCTCCTTACTGATCTTAAAGTTAGATTGTTATTTCATAGCAAAGGGAAAATAATTTCTCCATCAAACCTTTTGTATCTTTCACCCCTTGTAATTACTATTATCTCAGAACTCTAGCAAGCATTGCCTATATGCTTTTTGATATTTAGCCTTTATGCTTTGGAAGTTTATTTCTTGTCATATATTCCATTTGCTTGAATTAATTGTATTGCCTAAGGTTGTATACTTCTATCACCTTTTTAGATTTAAAGACTATATGCAGGAGAGTTGTGGTTAGCAGCATATGACAAACATATAACAATAACAGTAGCTTAAACTAAATATGAGTCAATTCTCTTTCATCTACAGTAAGTCAGAAGGTAGTCTGTCAGGGCTTGCTTTAATGTAGTTCCATAGTAATCAGGATTTCAGGCTCCTTTTATCCACTTCTCTATTGTTTGAGTGCCAGGTCATGGTTAAGGAAGGAGATGGGCCAGGTGTGTGGTGGGGGCTAAGCCCAGCTCCTTTGGTTCAAAGTGAAATTTCAGAAACATAAGAAGTAAAATTTCACCAAATTCTCACTTGTATGTTCATTGACACAGTAATAAGAGGGGATTGGAAATGTTCTTGCACATTGGTACTCTGAATTCATGGTTCATCTACTTATAGGAGAATACAACATGCTAGGTGAGAATGGTCATCTGAATAGATAGTAGCAGTCTGTGCTGTTATATACATGGGTATTTTCACCTTGTGAAAGCTCTTAATGTCACTTACTAGTACAACATTGCTTTACATAATCTTTTATGTAAGTTAATAAAATGCTAGTTTCAGATACTGATAAATAATGTTACATTGAAGTACCTTGTAAACTGTGAACATTTGTATTTTTTTAAAAAAATTTTGCCAGAAACAGTGGTTCATGCCTGTAATCCCAGCATCTTGGGAAGCGGAGGTGAGAGGTTTGCCTGAGCCCAAGATTTCAAGACCAGCCCAGGCAGCTTGAGGAGATTTTGTCTCCTTTGGTGATCCATTTACCTGGAAAGTCGTCTTCCATCCTTTAACTTTGAGTCTGTGTGCATGCCTTGTAGTGAGATGAGTCTCCTGGAAGCAGCAAATAATTGGGTCATGGTTTCTTATCCAGTTTGCCATTCTGTGTCTTTTCAGTGGTGCATTTAGTCAATTCACATTCAGGCTGATTATTGAAATGTGATTGTTTCTTGCTGTCACGAGGTTCTTATAAAGTGTTTTCTTTGCTTGTTTTCTTTTGGCTTTGGGGTTAATGTATCTGTGTTTTCAAGTTTCTTGTTGCACTATGTTCTCTGTTGATTCTGTGCTCTGCTGTTCTCTTGAGAAGTGTGTGGTCATTTTTTTTTTTTCTTCTGTGCTTAATACCTTTTTAAGTGTCTCCTGTAGAGTTGGTCTGAAAGCTGCATAATCGCTTAGGAATTGGCTGTCTGGGAAGGATTTTAATTTTCCATCACTGATGAGGCTGAGCTTGGCTGGATAGGAAATTTTTGGTTGAAATTGTTTATCTTTGAGGACTTTGAATATAGGGCTCCAGTCCCTTCTTACTTGTAGTGTTTCTGCCAATAGGTCTGCTGCTATTCTGATTGGTTTTCCCCAGTAGGTAGTCTGACCTTTCTCTCTTGCTGCCTTTAGGAATTTTTCTTTTGTGCCTACTTTGTATAGGCAAATTATTATGTATCTAGGGGTTGGTCTTATTTGATGTCTTGTGGGGGTTCTCTGTATTTCTTGTTCTTGGCTGGTCACATCTCTGGTGAGATGGGGAAAGTTTTCTTGGATTACCTCCTGGTATACTTGCTCCAGGTTGTTCTCCATTTTCCTTTCTTCTTCTGGGATACCAAGGGCGTAGGTTCGGCCTCTTGACATAAGTGCACATCTCATGTAGGCTTTGTTCTTTCTTTCTGAGTCTTCTTTCTATGTTCTTTACAGATCGGTTTAATTCCATGTTCTGGTTTTCAAGTTCTGAGATTCTTTCTTCAGCTAGATTGATTCTACTTTCCATGCTTATCATCTTGTTATTTATTTCCTGGATGAAATTTTTTATTGTCAAAATCTCTGTTACAAGTTCCTTTAGTGTTGCATCTTGTCTTTCTTGAGTCTTATTCACTCTTTCCATCCATTCCCTAATTCCTGTTGTATTCTGGAGCCAGTCGTTGTTGGTGACTTCCATTGTTTGGGCACCAAGCTCTGATTTTTCAGGAGTTTTGTCTTTGGTACACTTGAAACTTCCTGAGGTCTTCCTTTGGTTTTCCTCATTTGTGACAGATCTCTTGTTTTTCTCTTTAGTAGTTCTGTTATTCAGTGTCAGTTGGAGAAGATTTCCTTTCTGATGTTTGCTCAGTCTTCTGTTCTTCCCTGATCTGGCCTCTGGATTTGTTCTATTTTGAAATAGGATGTTGGATAGGAAGCTTTGCTGTCTCTTATAGTTTTTGAAATTCAAATAAAGTAGGGGATGGGGTGCTATGGTTCAGAAACTACTTGCAAATTACAATGTTCACTTATTGTGGTATGTATTCCCTGAGACCCATTCCCTACCACTGCTCTATATGATGATGCAAAGCAGAAACCAATGCAAAAAACAATTGAACACACACAGAGACATACACACACATCCCAAAACAAACTGGATGACAATAAAGTGAAACAAAACAAACAACAACAACAAAACCCAAGAAAACTAAATACACACACACATTCCTAGCACAAAGTGAATAGAGAAGAAAAACAGGAAGACTGGAGGGAAAACAAAAAAAAAGGAATTCAGATCGAACCTGCACACATATATTGACACACACCTTAAGCTATAAAAAAATGAAAATAAACCCCAGAAGAACAAAAGAGCAAAAACAAACCAACAACAACAACAAAATTGAAAGATGAACACTTAATCATTCACATACACACATAAACAGATAATGACAAATAAAAGATGAAAGAAACAGAAAAAGAAAAGAAAAACTATTTGGGGGGAGCAGATCAAACCCTTACATACACATGCATGCACAAAGGAAAAATATTTTAAAAATAGATAAACAAAACAGTCAAAAATTTTTAAAAAAATGTTAAATTGAAAAACAAAAAACAACCTGCCCTCTTGTGGCAGACTCTGTAATTGTTCCTCCAATCAGGTATCTCCTGCAGAGTCACCTACCTATTTTACTCTCCAGTATCTGAAGCAGGGAAGGAGGAGGGGCAGTGGAGATGGGTAGAGCTGCAGTCCTCCCCTCCCACTCTCATAGGTCAGGGAGCTCTCCTCTGATGGAGAGGTGCGGGATTGTCTCTTCTTCAGGTAAGTACTCTCACCTGGCGTGTCCCCGCCAGGCCTATCCTGGAATGGAATTATTCTATTGTGACTGATGTCCAGGTTCTGCCTGGGTTTGTCTTTCTCAGTCGTGGCCCAGCTGTGTGGGTCTGACTTTCGGAGGATTGCTAGGGAGGAGGGAGTTCCGGCCAGCCCCAGACTCACCACTGATCTCTTTGGAGTTCTTCCTCTCTTTTTCTGGCCACACCCTTTGTCCTGCAGCTTGATCAGGGTAGGGGGTGGGGTGCCTGGAACTCAGCACTTGTTAGGTCCCTCTGAAGTTTATACTTTCAGGATATTCCCTCTGGGTCATGATCAGTCCCTGAGTAGTTGATCTGCCAGTCACAGAGATTGGATCTGCTGCTCCATAGTGAGCAAGTCGGAGCACTTTCCTGCTCCACCTTCAAGATGGTGGTGGGATGCCTCTCTTATCCTCTTCCATGGCACTTTGCCTCTGGACTCTCACCACTGACCTTGCTGCCAGTGCCCTACCAGGCGCTGAATTGGTGAGGCAAAACCAGGAGCCAACAGTCTCTCTCCTGCTGCACCGGTGAGGGAGAGCCTGAGGCGATATTTTCTCCCCGCAGCTTTTGTCTTTTTAAAAAAAATAATGGCGCTCAGCTTCTGTGACCTGGGAAGAGCCAGGGATGAAGCAGAGAAGTTGCAGCACCAGCTGTTGCAGCAGGGGCCTGGCCACTTGCTCACGAGCCTCCACGTAGTCTCTCCCAGCATTTTCTTCCCAGGGAGAGTTTGTTGATTAAAAAAAAAAAAGAAAGAAAGAAAAAGAAAATGGCGCTCAGCTTCTGCATCCTGGGAATCGCTAGGGTCCAAGCCCAGCTCCTGTGGCACCAGCTGCTGCACCATGAGAGCCCTGGCTACCAGCTCCCAAGCCTTCACTCAGTCAGCCACTCACATCCACTCACTCACCAGTATGTACATAAAATTTTACATACCCTCACTCACTCACATGGGGATTCGCGTAGTCTGACTGGCTTGGCCAGCATCTTCCTGACCTCTCCGAGATATTGCCAGGTGTGGTGGTGTGCACCTGTGGTTCCAGCTGTTTGGAAGACTGAGGTGGAAGTATGGCTTGAGCCCAGCAGGTCGAGACTGTGGTGGCCATGAGTATGTCACTGCATTTCAACCTGGGCATGAGACTCTGACTCAAAAAAATTAAAAAAAAATTAGTTGTGACAAAATACACATAAACTTACATCTTAATTATTAAGTGTACAATTCAGTGACATTAAGTACATTCACATTGTGAAACCATCACCATCATCTTCAGAACTCTTTGTCTTGCAAAATTGAAACTCTATACCTACTAAATAATAACTCCCCATTCCCCCTTCACCTCTAATCCCTGGCGACCACCATTTTACTTTCTCTCTCTATGAATCTGACTACTCTAGGAACCTCGTATAAGTGGAATCAGTCAGTATTTGTCTTTTTGTGTCACTTATGTCATCCAGCATAATGTCAATTTTCATCCATGCTGTACTATGTGTCAAAACTTCCTTTCTTTTTAAGAATAATCTGAATAATCTTTCAATATTATTATTCTTAATTTTTCTACTAAAATTTTCTTCATAGGGAAGCACCTTTTGTTTCCTTGTTTCTTGTTTGCAAACTCTAAATATACTCGAGCAGTCTCTCAATTCCATGTGATTCAATCCCCCTATTGATTTTGCGATGGAAAATTTTAAGAGCTTTTGGTTACTTGGAAGTAAAACATTTGAAAATGTAAAATATGCATCTGTACTTTAGATATATGGCATACATACCATATATGATATGTGCATGGTATATGTGTATATGATATATGTCTGTATAGTGTACAAGGGGGGACCCCCTCAAAAACCCGGAATTTATAAAAAATTGAGTATTTATTCTTACATGTTTAAACTTTAGTCACCTTCAAAACACTTTCTGTTTGATGTAATACACTTATTGAGATGCTTTTTGCTCTGCTCAAAGCAGTTTATGAACTTATCGATTTTGATGCCTTTTAGTGCTTATGCATTTTTTTTTTTTAATCTCTTCCACATTGGCAAAATGTTTCTCTTTGAGGACTTTTTTCATCTGGGGAAACAAAAAATAGTTTTTTGGGGTGAAAGCCAGTTAATAGGGAGCATGGGGCACAGGGGTCATGCTGTTTTTGGTCAAAAACTGCTGACCACTCAGTGTGGTGTGGACAGGTGTGCTGGTAAGTCACTCACAATGAAATCGGCAAATGTGTTGAAAGAATCTCCCCCCAAAAAATTCACTGAAGTCAAACAACACAGCCTCTCACAATAACATTAACTGATACACTGATGTCAGTGGGTTCCTAGAACACTTACCTAGTGGGGGAAACCTGTACTATAAAGGGTCTGCCCTCTAAAAGATAATTCTGGTTGTTTTTTTTTTTTTTTGCCCCCCCACCTTATATTTAATCCATACCATACATTAACAACAACTAACTTTTTTTTTAGTACTTACTATATACTGGCATAATACTAAGTGATTTAGATCATTTAATCATACAACTTTCATGAGGAAGGTACAGTTATCTCTATTTTATAGTTTAGGAAGCCAAGAAATACTGAGGTTGAGAAACTTGCCTGTGATCTCATAGCTAGTTAAGGGAGATAGAATTTGAGCACTCTGACTCTAGAGCCCATGCTTTTAACTACTGTACTGTTTCTGTGATTTAGTTTTTATTATTTATGTTTGTTAACTTTTTGGAAGGAAAATAATTTTTTGGCTCTACAGTGTATGTGTAGTATATACTCTACCTAACATGAAATATTAGAAGAATACTGGAAATGCACTCTTAATAATTGTGGTAGAAAGGTCCTGTCTGGGATATGTTTAGCATCAAATGTCACAGTACATCAAACTGAAATCTCTGCATTTTAAGCCATGAATTTTATCACATTTTGCTTCAATATATACTACTAAGGATCAAGTTATTTTCTTTTTTTTTCCCATTGTGTACTTATTCATGTTTGATGCTTTCATTCAAATAAGAAAATTAATAATAATAAGTAGTATTACATTTATACATCTTTAGCAGATTAACCCAAATTTATAGGGTCTTATAACCTTTTTTTTGAGTTGGAGTCTCACTCTATTACCCAAGCTGGAGTGCAGTGGCATGCTCATGGCCATTGCAGCCTTGACCTGCTGGGCTCAGGTGATCCTTCCACCTCAGCCTTCAAAGTAGTTGGAACCACAGGAATGTGCCACCGTGCCCAGCTGATTTTCTGATTTATTTTAGAGACGAGGTCTCACCAAGTTGCCCAGGCTGATCTTGAACCCTGGATTCAGTCAGTCCTTTCGCCTCTGCCTCCCAAAGTGCTGGAATTGCAGGCGTGAACCCCTGCACCTGGCTGGATCTTATAACCTCTTATGAGGTCAAAGTCTCGGTTTGGAATTAAAAATTTCTTCGTCTGGTTCTTCGTCTGGTTCTTCAGGTTACATTCCTAACTCCAGCTAGCTAATTTTAAAATTTAAACGTTTAGAAGGATAGTTTGTGCAAATTCTTTTCCACTAGAAAAATAAAACAGGTACAGTCTTAATGATGGTTCATGGACTCATCATTTAATTTGAAGAATGAATTAAATGTAATAAACATTAAATATTTTCAGTTAATGTTATAAACTACCAAGTAGATTTGGGTTCAACATCATTTAAAAATAATATTTGTTTTTAGAAAATGTGTTTAATAGAAACTTTTAATATTTTTATTTATTCACTGTTATAATTTTTGCTTTATGTAGCACATGCCAAAATTTAATTCAATTTCAATTAGTGGATACCATATGCAGGAAGCAGGGGCTGATGCCATTCTGGAACTGGCTTATACTATAGCAGATGGATTGGAGTATTCTAGAACTGGACTCCAAGCTGGCCTGACAATTGATGAATTTGCACCAAGGTGAGTACCTTAAACTTAGATATTGTTTCAACATTAGGAAAATGCATAGGGTTGTCTTATGAGTGGGCAGCAAAATGTATTGATAAAATGAACTTATAAATATTAGACCAGATTTTGATTTTCTTATGTATAATTTGAGTGATAATTAGAGCATAAACCAATGCTATTTATAATCAAAGGTCAGAATTAAATTTGGCCACATTTCTTTGTAAATTAGAGGAATTTCTTGTCTCCAGCTATCTAAAGAATACAATTAACTTGTACATTTTAACAAATTACATTAAAATATAAACATAATGTTAAGACAGTTTCACTTTATTCATTTTATTTTTCCATTTTAGAATATGGAAATCAATTATGTTTTTTTTTCTCTTGCACTATGTAATGTAAATGTTTTGAGTTGCACAGTGCCATTGAAAGCATTGTGTTTCACAGTAATTTTTAACAAAATTGTATGAAAAATATGAATATGAAGTGTGTATAAATTTGGAGATAAAAAAAAATCAGTCAACAGTTTATTAATTCAGCAGTTACTTGCTAAGCTTTGCCCTGGGGCAAGCATTAGCCGTATGCTGGCAATACAACATATAGAAAACATGGTTTCTGCCTTCAGAGTGCTTGTAGAGATGAGGTCTTGCTATGTTGTCCATTCTGGTCTTGAACTGTACTCAAGATATCCTTCCTTCTCACCTTCCCAAAGTGCTGGATTGCAAATGTGTGCCACCCTGCGTGGTCTTTAGTTTTGTTTTATGTTCTATGTTGTTAAGTTTAATTAAATTATGGATTTAACATTGCTATTTTAGGTTGTCTTTCTTTTGGGGAATTGGGATGAACTTCTATATGGAAATAGCAAAGATGAGAGCTGGGAGAAGACTCTGGGCTCGCTTAATAGAGAAAATGTTTCAGCCTAAAAACTCAAAATCTCTTCTCCTAAGAGCACATTGTCAGACATCAGGATGGTCACTTACTGAGCAGGTTTGTATGTAATTTAATAATCAGAAATTTAATGAAATCATATTTTTTTCTAAGAAACATGGCACAGTTAGGAAATACATTTAAGAAGCTATGTGCTAACTTTTGAAAACTCAAATATTCTGAAGCATATTGCATACTTAGGTTTGTATTTACACATATAATAAATAAATAAAATTAGCTCCCTCTAGTGGTTAGTAATTTAGAATCATTTCCATCTTAGTTTTATGTAGTGCTGTTTTACTTTTTAAAAAGTAAACAAAATTTGATGATGAAGAAGTAAAAGTCATAATTTAATAAGTTCTCTCTTTATAATTTTTAGAATTATTGACATAAAGCTGCCTAATAAAATTTGATTTTATAAGTACACATCGATTTTATTTATTAAAGTGGTATGCTTATACAAATATGCAAGCAAACAGATCGTTTAAAGACTGCTATCACTTAGGGAACTTAATTTCATTTCAGTAAAAATTGCGTGGTGGTGATCATGTTTTTATGCATGTTCTCTTTACCTATTCAACTATTTTGATACATTTAAAAATAATGTATACATATAAAGTTACATTGCTTTTGTACATCTAGAAATGAGTAACACCAATATGCTCCATATGAAATATAACTGCAGGTCCTTATAAATGGAGAAATAGAGATTTTCAGGGTTGGAAGGAACTTTAGTATAATTATTTTGTCATAACCTGCTTTTTTTTAAAAAAAAAAAGATAACATGCTTATTTTTACAGCTAAGGCAACTGAAGTTCAGAAAGGCCCAACGGCTTGCTCAGATTTCAATTGGGGACACAATAAACTAGAGCCCAGATTTCCTATCTCATAGTTCATTGTTCATGTGTTTCATTAATCATTTGAGTGCCTGTTTCACACACATCACTGTGGTAGATACTTTGAGGTATACAAAATGGTAAGGACATAGTGAATTATGAAATGAAGCATTATATAATCTAAATAGAAAAAATATATATTCTTGATATGAGTATAAAAAAGTGTTTAGCAATGTGAATGTAAGCACAATAGATATTTGATCTTTCAGAGGATTATAAGAAACAGTGTTTTAATGACTAGGTGCAGAGTAGATATTTTGGTTTTTATTTCTATTTCTGATTTGTTCACTAATTTGCCTAAGTTTATTCGATATTCTGAAACCCATTGTGGACATCTGTATAGAAGATATGCAGCACTTGCCATTTAATCATATTGTCTTTTATAGGTACAATATTTATCAACTGTTTCCTTCTTTTTTATAAAATGTTTTAGGATCCTTATAATAACATTGTTCGTACTGCAATAGAAGCAATGGCAGCAGTGTTTGGAGGGACTCAGTCTTTGCACACAAATTCCTTTGATGAAGCTTTGGGTTTGCCAACTGTGAAAAGTGCTCGAATTGCTAGGAACACACAAATAATCATTCAAGAAGAATCTGGGATTCCCAAAGTGGCTGATCCTTGGGGAGGTTCATATATGATGGAATCTCTCACAAATGATGTTTATGATGCTGCCTTGAAGGTCAGTTTTTTCTCTTTGCAACTTTGCTCTCAAGATATATATTTATAAACATAGATTTATAAACCAAGATTTTTAAATTTATGAATCAGATCATTTATAGGTTTTTATTGAGGCTTATAAGATGTTTGAGAGAAAAAGAGAAGTTTAGATTTGATTTTATTGCTTTCAAAACTGAAATTTAATTTGAAAATACATTTATATTTATAGTAAACCATTTTTTCAAAGAGTAAAAAAGACAACTAATACTAAAAAGCTTAAACACAAAACAGAAGTTTTTTTTATCATCTACTTGTTTTTTTCCTGTATCCTAGAGTAAGCTGCATCTTTTTTTTCCACATATTTCTTTTTTGTTTATTTTTTTATCCGTATAGTTTAAAATCACACATGTGTACTGTTTGCTCTGATTCCATCAACTTTAGATATTAGATATTAGATCATAGACATTATGCATTGCTTTCCTAGTATTGTTTTAGATTTTAGCTGATTTATACTCCTTTTTTTTCTCCTCCCTCACTGCCAGTATAATTATACCTCAATATAATCCTTCATGAAGTCCTCTGATACTCTCATTGAATTTAAACTGTTTTCTCTCTAGGTCTGCTCACCATTGCTGTCATTTGACTTCTCTTTGCCATTATCCTGGGAATATATTTTCACATCTTCTATATTGAATTCTGAATCCTGAGTTCCTTGTCTCTTTGTTATTTTGAAGCACATTTCATAGCAACCTGATAAAAGTGGTACATGGGAGATAAATTATTTGAAATTTTGCCTGTTTGAAGATATCTTTATTCTGTTGCTATATTTCATTGATAGTCTGACTAGATTTGAATATATTTCCATTCAGAAATTTATAAGCAAGTTTATAAGCATTGATCTTTTTATTCTAGATTTTCATTCTAGCTTCCAGTATTTCTTATCAGATATATGGTGCCATTCTCATTCAGGATCTTTCTTTCTGAAAACATCATTCAGGATCTTCTTTATTTTTTGTGTTAATGTATAATTTGGTGCATATATTTTTTCCTACATTGCACTAAACCTTTGATGGGTCTTTTTCATATCATGTTTTCAAAATATTTTTACAGCTCTGGGAAATTTTAAAATATTATTTATTTGATAATTTCTTTCGGATATTTTTCTATGATTTTTCTTTCTAGAACTAGTCATAAGCTATTAGTCCTCCCTAAATAATATGTTGATGTTCTTATCTTTTCTATAATGCATCTCTTTGCTTTTTAATTTTGTTTTCTTGGAAATGTGTTAACTTTATAGTTCTACTTAAGTACTTTAACATTCATATATAATATTTTTAATTTCTAAGAGTTCATTTTGTTTTCTAATTTTTCCCTTATACTGTATGTCATAATAATTTGTTTCATTGATGCAGAAGCTCTTCTTATTCTGAAGATACTAATGATATTTTTTGAAGTTTTTTTCTGCATTTTATATTGTCTCTATTTTCTCTGTGTGCCTTTTTTCTTTAGTTTTATTGTTCAGAGTGCAGGCCTTTACTTAAGTAAAACAACTTAACCTTACTTCTTTCTGTATTTGGTATTTGATAGTTCATTGCTTCTTAAGTTCATTTTATGCAGACAGTAAAGTTTGGTTCTCCTGACAGAATGGGAGAATGGTAGTTGCAAACTCTCAAGTCGTGTCTCTCTTTTTAGCTTCCCAACCTTGTCTTCTGTAGACTACAATACAGGTCCTTCTTTCTTGAATTCTTTAGGTAAAAAGCAAGTTTGATCCTTATCCTTCCTGCTAAGTCATGTATCATTCCACCATCTATTTTTTTGCCTTTATATATGAAGATTGAAGTTTTAAATGTTTCCTAATTTTATAAAGATAAAGTTATATCATTTCTCTGCTGCACAAATAAAAAACAAATTTCATTTTAAAATATATTTTTCTTAAAGAGTCTTTATTTATGTAACTATGAAAATTTATGTAGCTAAAAAAAAAAGATTAAGAAATTGATGTTTTCTTTGGTTTTCTCTTAAGACTTGAATGAGAGGTTTTGTGTTTCCAAAATATACTTGTTAGTTTTTCTGTTGAGTTTTCAAATAACTTTAAACACACAAATTTTAATGAATGCCCTTGATGTTTACTTAATTCTTTTTAATTTTCTTTTATACTTTTTTATAATTTATAATTTTCTTTTTATAATTTTATTAATACTATTACTAATATATAATACCATAACAAATTTGTATAGTTTACAAGCATTTTTTAATATTGTCGTTGAGTTTTATTAATGTTTTTCTTCTTAGCTCATTAATGAAATTGAAGAAATGGGTGGAATGGCCAAAGCTGTAGCTGAGGGAATACCTAAACTTCGAATTGAAGAATGTGCTGCCCGAAGACAAGCTCGAATAGATTCTGGTAAACATAAAGTTAAAAACTTTATATATGAAATTGAGTATTTAAAAAGAAATATTAAGTTCTTTTTGAAGATCACATGTATAGTTAATAACAAAAATAATGAAAAAAGAAACTTTTTTTAATGTTTTATGTCTATATACATATATCTTTGTTTGCCTTTTATGTGCAGACAATAATATGTACAAATTGTCTATGGATATGTACCCATTATATGTGTGTACATGTTTATGGGTGGATATCACCAACTTTTTGAAGATAACAATGTTATGGTCATTGTGCTCTGTACTGGAGTATTCATTCGTTCAATCAATTAATGCTTTTTTCATCTATTGTGTTTGAGGTACTTGTTTGGGCATACAACTGAAATAGTGTAGACATGATTTCTGTTCCCATAGATTTTACATTCTAGTAAAAGAGAAAAAAATAAACAAGTAAAATAACTACAGATTGTAATAAGTGTTATGAAGGAAATAAGGGGTATAACTGGGATAGGTATGGTGGTATGTTTCAGATAAGAGAAACAGTCTGGTACCTTGAGACAAAATATATTCTTTATTACATAAAGAAGTATCTTTGCAATTTTGATTTATTGCTTGTAGATCTTAAAAGTATTTTTTTTTCTCTAAAAGTTACTGGCTGTCAAAGAATTCAAGAAAATATTAGAAAAGCTACTGGGTTTTAAATTTCTGCCTTATAGATCTTAGATGTTAACTGCTCTGTTTTTATTTTGTAATGTTAGAAGATTTATCAGAAACTCTGGGAAATTGTATAGTTTGGGAGAATAATCAAAGATCTTCCTTCCAGAGACTGATATATACCTGTTCTCCCACTTCACACTCCCCAGATTTGCTGATCTATATTGAAGTTTCATTAAATGTAAAGATATTAAACTTATAAGGAAGATACATGATAAACAGAACATTTTTTATTAGGCAATTATTTGTGAATAGAATCTTTATGTTATTTTCCTTTGAAAAATTAACAGGTTCTGAAGTCATTGTTGGAGTAAATAAGTACCAGTTGGAAAAAGAAGACTCTGTAGAGGTCCTGGCGATTGATAATACTTCAGTGCGTAACAAGCAGATTGAAAAACTTAAGAAGGTATTAGTTGCTTTTTTTTTTTTTTTTTTTTTTTTTTTTTTAGTATTTTCTGTATTCTGGGCACTAGCTAAGCTCTTAAATTGTCCTGCCCAAATTGATCCTTATAACAACAATGTGAGGTGGATATCATTTTTCATCATTTCAAATATAAGGAAACTAAAGATAAAACATTGAGAAATTTGCTCAGGATGAATACTTAGACAGCTATGACTCACTCTAGGTCTGTTGACACCCAAACCTCATATTTTAACCATGATATCTGCCTCTGTGAAACGTATATGTTGGTGTTGTAATCCACACTACAATAATAATGCCCTTCATAATTAATAGATTAGAACTAAGACTTAGATGATTATGTAACTCATTCAGAGTAAAAAGCAGAATAAAGTTTAGAGTTAGTATTTGAACCCAGGGCCTCACATTGTAATTTCTTTCCATTAGACCATAGTTCCTGCTACAACTATGAAAGAATTATTTGCTTTCTGATTTTTAAAAAATCAACTATATTTGGTAGTGTTTTATTAAGATGCAGTTTATAGTAAACTTTACTTATTCTGATTGAAACTAGAGTATTGTATTTCCTTTTTATTTTCAATTTGTCACTTAAATGATTGAAAGTGTATGAAATGCTAAAATAGATACACCATAATAATTGTCACTGTTGTAATCTATATATTTCTGCTATATAAAGCTACATTAGCCTCAAGTCTTTGGCTTTTGTTATTACTGCCATTTTCAGTGTAAGAAAGTTAAAACCTTAATAGTTCTCTTTTCCTGTGATTGTTTGAGATATGACTTCCCCTCCCCCCCCTTAGTTTAAACATTTTGTAAAAATCTAATAGACTTTGTCCGGTTAGATTGAATGAATACTATCATCTTCAATTTCCATTCCCATTAGAGTTAATGGCAGATATTTAAGATGTTATTTTCTTCTTCATCCTCTATCTGATCTGGAATAATAATGACTGCTTTGTCACATCTTTTCATTTTTTTAAGGGGTCCTATTTAGCATGTAGTATTTTTATTTTCAGTGATCACAAAACTCTTACTCAATATTTGTTATATTTGGAAAGCCTCTTTCTCCTTTTTTATAACTTAGTCTTATTAGCTTTATACTCTCAAAACTTGAGAGGTTCCATTTATCATAAATGATGGTAAACTTTATTTTGAGTAAGAGTGAGAAATTCAGCAATGATAATATTGAAATAATAGTTAACATTTATTGAGCACTTATTATGTACCACATACTGTGCTGAGTACTTTTCGGAAATTATGGTGGTTTTGTGTATCATTTTATTTAACAGGTAGTTAAATTTCATTTATAGATGGGGGAACCAATTAGAGTGTCTCATTTAGTTGCTCAAGTTTATACTGTAAGTGGGAGATCTGGGATTTGAATGCAAATTTCTTGACTCTAGTGCCAGTTTAGGAGACATGGATGTTCTAGTGTAAATTTTTCCTAATTTTGAACTTTCTTCAGACCACACCAAATCAAAGTTCTTCTATTGTAAAAATTAACTTTCATCATAGCTAAAATCAAGAGATATTTTTTATTTCTGCTGCGGTACTCTGAGCTGTACCCTGGTACTGGACTAAAGTTTATATTTTCTCATGATTTTCTTTTACAAATAGTTATAACAGTATTTTTACTTGTAGTGTTAACATTTTTAAAACTGGAACCACCTCAACAATAATTTTATATTAATATTTTTATAGTTTCCAGCCCCAGTTAATTTTAGCATGCATTTTCACTCCATGAATTTCCGTAATTTGTTTTTCAGATAATTATAGCAAACCTACATAATCTGTAAACCAGCAAAGGTGTACTTTTCAGCTGTGCTCAAATGTCACCTTATCTAAGAAGGTGGTCCATATTTTGATAGCACCCTATGCTGCTCCCCCATCACTTCATTATTTACTCAGTTTTATTTTTCTCTTAAATTGTATATTTATTTATATGTTTATTGTTTCTCTCTTTCTCTCTTCAATAAAATGTAATGTTTGTGAGGGCATGGACTTTGTTTTGTTTATTGCTATATCTCCACAACTAGAACAATATTAGCATTAATAAATGCTTAATTAATACTTGCCATCTATTTTAGCTTAATTAGAAAATGCTTGTAAATAATAATTATTGTTTGAGTTGAATAGCTTGAAATTTTGGGTATTCAGAAATAATCCTGTCTTTAAACATAATTGTTAAAAATACATGTTAAGGAATTAAGTCATATACATGTTATTCTGACTGTTAATATAGACTATATTTGCAGAAGCTCTTGTTTCCTGAAACCATGACTCTGCATTCTTGTTATTCCTGTTACTTTTATAAAGTTAAGATTTATTGAGTGCCTGTGCTATTCTAGGAATTGCCTTAGTTATCCATTTTCTCTTTTAGTCCTTATACTAATGTTACTCTTTTCATCACTCTCATCTGACAGAACACTGATGTGGAGAGATGTTAATAATGTTCTTATGTTCATTCAGCTAGCAAATGTCAGTTCTGGAACTTGAATCCAAGTGTTACTCTTTTGACTATGATCTTAACTTCATACTAGTTTCTTTCTAACTTTTTGACCATGATTCACACAGTAAGAAATGCATTTACTACATGCCTACCTACACATACATGAATTCACATGTGTTTGAAAACCTATAGCTGAAATACAAGTTTCACAAAATAGTACTTACACAAACTGTGTGCATTATACTTAGTTTCTATGCTGTTTCAGTTTTTTAAAAGTGCTGTTCACTGTTCACTAATGCCCTTAGCCATCCACTAATGGACTTACAATTTAAGAAACACCACACTATACTATATTGACTCCCCTTATTAGAAATGTAGATCACACCAGAAAAATGCAAGTAACTGTATAAGGTAAAGAAAAATGGGCATTTTCATAGAGAATTTGGAGTTGAGTTTTTCCGTGGCGTGCTACAGTCAGTCCTCTATTTCTGTGAGTTACACATCTGTAGATTTAACCAACCATAGATTGAAAATATTTGGAAAAAAAAAAAAAAGGATGGTTCCATTTGTACTAACCACATACAGACTTTTTTCTTGTTATTATTTCCTAAACAATACAGTATAACAACTATTTACCTGGTATTTGCATTGTATTCGGTACTATAAGTACTTTAGAGACGATTTAAAGTATGTGGGAGGAAGTGTATAGGTTATATGCAAATACTATGCCATATTATATAAGGGACTTCAACATCTTTGAATTTTGGTATCTGCAGGGGTTGGGGATTATGGAACCAATTCCTCCTACAAAGGGACAAATTTTCTGTCCCACTTTAGCTCATAGATACTATATTATTTTAGTGGCATATTGAGCGGTAACAGGTTTTTGTTTTCTGGTTTTCCACCCCCCAAAAGACAGCAGGAGCAGTATCATGTTTTAGCCTTTTTTTTTTTTTTTTAACTGGTGGTACAACTTGTACAAAAATTAGATTTAGGTAACTTTGTTTTTGCAAACTGTTGGCAGAGTAAAGTAGAATTAGGGAAAAAGTCTTTGACCATGCTTTTCATCATCTTTCTTTCTTACTTAGGATATTTTTAAATACAAAGAACAGTGATACACATATGTATTATTCTATATGCATACATGCCATTTAAACATATTGCTATTTATCTAAAGGAAACTTAAACTGTAACTAAAATATTCTCTAAGTTTTGATCTTTTTTTTCCCCCATATCACTATTATTCCTTCAAAGTCCTTCACATGAAAGACCCACTTGCTTTTAATGCCTTGTTATTTTAGAAAAACCTAAGCAGTGCTACTTGGGAAAGTCAACACTCTTATTGTTCTGCATGTTTCTGATTTGTCAGGTTTGCACCAAGTTTGGTATTATTTTATGAAATTCTGAGTAAATGAATGAACTGAATGAATGAAATTACTAGGTTTTATATATATATATATATATATTTTTTTTTTTTTTTCTTTGTTTCTCTTTTTTGAGGGGGATAGGATTTCAGAACAGTCTCGTATGGTATGAATCAGGGTCTGATCTTTTAATTGCCGTTTTATTCTCTGTTTATGTGAATTGTCTCTTTCCTTTTCCTTTTCCATAAGATTAAATCAAGCAGGGATCAAGTTTTGGCTGAACAGTGTCTTGCTGCACTTACCGAATGTGCTGCCAGTGGAGATGGAAATATTTTGGCTCTTGCAGTGGATGCAGCTCGGGCAAGGTAAGGATATATAAGTTTGGAGATTTTCAAAGACTGAGTTGAGCAGTTTAGCTTTTCGCAGTATATTTAAGTAAAAGGTTGATCCTGTAAACCATGTGAGTCCACAAGACAGTATGGCAAGTATAATAAATTTGATTCTTATCTTTTAAAAAATCTTTGCATTTAAAACATTCACATATTTTGAATGAAATATATGAATGCTTGTGTATTTCACTGTGGCTTCAATATGAAGCCTTTTTAAATGAATATTTCATTGATTTGCAGGTTGAAATTTGATGTACTCTCAAGTAGATCATCAGGCTTATGCCCACAACTTTGACATTTCACCAGTTAAAATAGCTCTTGCTAGGGGAAACATTAATCTGAGAATTGTGGAGAAAATGTGTTATTGTGCTGTTACTTTTGAATTATTTTTAATCATGTAGCAACCAGAAGAGGAACTAACTTCCCTTCCTTGCCATTCCAGATATTTTTCCCTTGTTGATAGAGCCTTGCATTCTTTTAAGAGTAGAATATTTTTTAGTTGTTCCCAGTCTTTTATCTCTCTTTGACATTTTGGCCTACTGCATTTGATTTTCTAATGCATTTTAGCTGGTCTTGTTAAAGTTCACCAGCGACCTCCTCTTTGTCAGATATTGTGGACATTTTTTTTTTTTTGAGTTGGAGTCTCACTCTGTCGCCCAGACTGGAGTGCAGTGGCCACTCCAGGCCACCGCAGCCTCGCTTGCTGGGCTCCGGCGATCCTTCCGCCTCAGCCTTCCAAGTAGCCGGAATTACAGGCATGCGCTACCATGCCCGGCTGATTTTTTGGTTTATTGTAGACATGAGGTCTCACTGCCCAGGCGGTTCTCAAACCCGCGGGCTCAGGCAATCCACTCACCTCAGCCTCCCAAAGGCGAGGGATTACAGGCTGAGCCACCGAGCCCGGCTGTGGGAATTTTTTAGTCATATCTTGACTTCTTTACACTTCTTCCTTCTCGGAACGTCTGTCTTTATAACTCCTAATATGCTCCTTTGTCCCCTAACCTTTGTCTGTATTTAAGAACAATCTAGACAGAAAACAAGAGTTGCTTCCTTGTTTTATCTGCATCTGTGTTGTCAAAGGCATAATATGGCAAGGTGGAGATTGTTGTACTTGCTACCTAACAGGATTATTATGAGGAGACATTAAATAAGCCGGGCTCGGTGGCTCAGCCTGTAATCCCGCGCCTTTGGGAGGCTGAGGTGAGTGAATTGCCTGAGCCCGCGGGTTCGAGACCCGCCTGGGCAGCAAGACCTCATCTCTACAATAAATCAAAAAATCAGCCAGGCATGGTAGCGCATGCCTGTAATTCCGGCTACTTGGAAGGCTGAGGCGGAAGGATCGCCGGAGCCCAGCAGGTCGAGGCTGCGGTGGCCGGGAGCGGCCCCTGCACTCCAGTCTTGGCGACAGAGTGAGACTCCAACTCAAAACAAAAAAATAAATAAATAAAAATATTGCTTGGGACAGGCACTTAATAAATATTAATTGTTATTATTTTTATATTTCTTATGCTTTTAAAGTTATTTTAATACATTACATATTATACATAAATAAATGGATACATATATAAATGTATTATATTAAGAAATGAAAGGAGTCTGAAATGTTACTCTTCTTGTCAGCTAACAAGTTATCAGTCTCATGGGAAGCTGGTTGAAGATATGAGACCTCTGAGTTAGAACTGAAGGATACTTTATGACTGCAGTAGTAGTAGCCAGAGTATCAGCAGTTTGGGGGCTAGTTCCTCTGAATCCCAATTCCTACAGAGCGATGTGAAAAGGACTCTAGATGATACCTCATGTACAGGGGGTTGGATTACATTCCAGGAGAGGAAACCTAAAGTTAGAGATTGTGAATCTTTTATAACGGACAATGAGTATACCTTCCTTTTGTTCTAGAAGGAGACATTATTATATTGGACAGTAAGCAAAACTACCCTTAGCTCTGGAGGTAGCCACTATATTCCAAGGCTGTTTACTATACACACATCTGTGAAAAGATAGTCCAGAATTAAAGGGCAATCAGTGATTTGCTTTGCAGGACAAGTAGAAAAATGAGTGACCCATGGACATTTTATTTCAATATATGGTAATGACACTAAATAAATTACTTTTGCTTTTCAGTGTTTATTGATTAACATAATGAACTTTTTAAAAAAGTGTAATTTTTAGTGTGTAAGGCATAGAGTAAATAATATGTGTTGGGTTTTTTTTTCCAGTTTTAATTTCATAAATAAATTAAATGACTTCTGATTAAAATCCTTTGGTGGTCTCCCATTATTTTTAGATTAAAACCTAATTATTTGTACGATAACCTGCAAGACCTGTCTCTCTGACTTCATCCTACTTTCTTCACTATGGCGTATCCCATTTCACTTCTTTCTATTTTTAGAATACAAAACCTATTTTCCTATGTCTCAGAACCTTTGCATTCAGTGTTTCCTTTCCCAAACACTCTTCTCATTTATGTTCCTTTGGATTCCTCTTTCTCATAATTTATATCTTAGTTCAAAAGTCATATCTTAAATATCTTTAAAACTGATCTCCCAGACATCTTATTCTATCTTGGCCTGTTTTCATGTCTTTATATACTTATTACCTATGCAATGTTATTATTAATTTATTTATTTGCTTGTGTATCATCTACATCCATGACAAGATGATGAGTTCTATAAGGGCAAGCACTGAATATGCTAAAAAAATTTACATCTTATCAAAAATATCAGTGGGAGTCTTGCTCTTTATACATTAGTATTGTTAATGGTGAATTTTTCAGAAAACTTCAGATTCTTGTCTATTTATAGTTTTTAGGTCATTCAGTCATATTTTTGGATGACAATGTTGAAAAGAGATTAGCATGTGTAAAGACAGCTCAAATAACTTTTTAATAAATATTTTCAGAAAAGGTGCTTTCACAATACATAAAAACATTATCTAGAATTTTGTATAAGACATTTTTTGCTTAAGTAATTAAATATGTATAATTGCATTGAATAGTAAAGTAAACAATTATCTTTAATTGCAAAATAATGACATTAATGGGACCACAACTTAATATTTTAGATGTACAGTTGGAGAAATCACAGATGCCCTGAAAAAGGTATTTGGTGAACATAAAGCTAATGATCGTATGGTGAGTGGAGCATATCGCCAGGAATTTGGAGAAAGTAAAGAGATAATATCTGCTATCAAGAGGTAATATGTAAAATATCTTAGGCCAGGATTTTATCTTTTGTGTTAACACAATCACCTTATATCTACCGGGAGCTTAATTTTCTTATATACAACGTGGAAAATTTTTGAATTGACTTTTCTGTTAGTTTGTAATTCTAGTAAAATTAATGAATAGTAAGTTAAATATTAATTATATTATTATGTATATCATGCATATTACATATAATCTATGAAATAGATATAATTCATTTATGATAGAATATATAATTAGAAATGTATCATGGAGAATTATATGTTATAGTTATGTATAATAATATATAATATTATGAATAATATATTTACTAATTAATAAATATTAAATATTGTAACTAATATTAGTTTTTATGAAATTAATAATATTTTGATGTCACCATAGTTATCTTTTTTTTTTTCTTTGTTTGTTTGGAGTCTCACTCTGTCGCCCAGACTGGAGTGCAGTGGCCGCTCCCGGCCACCGCAACCTTGACCCGCTGGGCTTCGGCAATCCTTCTGCCTCAGCCTTCCAAGTAGTTGGAATTACAGGCATGCACTACCATGCCCGGCTGATTTTTTGATTTA